AACACATGCATATTGCACCCGTGCGAAGCCAGGGCGGGTCGCTAGTTAATAATAAATGATAGCAACATGTCTAACTCAATATTATAACTACAAAGATAGGCCAAAAGTTATTAGCTGATAAAGTTAGGTCAAATGTATCTACAATGTATATTTTTTCCGGAGGAACAGTTGAATATGTCAATACGCTGTTTTATCAGAATGTAATTATGTTATATACTTTGAACAAATTGGTTTTATTTGATAAATAACATATAAATTGTACATGAGTGCTGTTTCGTATATTTTGTTAGTGCAGAAGTTCATAAACCTTGACGGGTAGGCTATTCTTGTTCCATTTTTCAAAGTCAAAGTCAACATCATTTATTTCAATTAGATCAGGAAGGCACTTTTGAACGTCAACAACAAAAAAAAAATTAGAAGTGAAGCTAGTTGCTCATTCCAAGGTGTAGAATCATATGGAGAAGAACGAGCAAGAAACTCCATAGGTTACTTTTTTTCAATCGGAGGAGGAGGATCTTTTTCAGTCTGGAGTTACATCTACAACTAACAACCAAAACGGACTCACTGCCTGATTGTTTTTCTAATAACTTCTGAGGCTCTTTGCTCAACCTGGACCTGTCGGTTGATACAGCTCAGCACTAACACTAGCTTAACCAAACAACATATGAATTTAGGCTCGTTCTTTTCCTACTCAAATCATAAATACCTATGTTGTTTCAAACAAGGTCGAACCTAATCCGCGACTTAGCACTCGTATTACAACCAAACTTGAACATTTATATTTCTACTAGTTTGTCCGTGTGGTCAAAGGAAAATAAGTGGTCTATATTGATTCTTCACACTCGTAACTATCGGTAGGCACAAAAATTATATCGTTAAAACACTGCGACGTTAAAGAGAGACACATAAACACTCTATCGCATTTATTATATTAACAAGGATACAAAATATTATTGATATGGTACTGTATAAAACGAATCATATAAAAGGACTCGCAATGATTCATCGATTCATCACCCACGTTCGAAAATAACGAAGTGTTGTCTCATTCGTTTTTTGTCAAAATTTTCATAAGTAGGCCTCTAATATTTTTATGAACGTCGAAAGCTTATACTTAAATTGCTTATTTACATAGTATTAAGTACAGGTCGTTTACCATATTCGTAAAATATCCTGTTTGTACGCTAATGTTACTTACTATATTTTTATGTAGTTTATACGTACTAGGATCGGGCAAATATTATTATTTGTACCTAGTCGACCTATTTAAATGAAGATACATTGTGTTTTCGACATTATTTTGGTGGACTTACGAGGCTACTCTTGCTACGGACATCGCAAAAGAGAAATGTCTCGGATTTTCAAATTTATTTTTGTGTCCGAAAGAAAAAATTGCTGTGGTCATGGCTGGTTTGTGCATAACAAATCGCTGTTGAGCTAGGTGTCCCAGAATCGAGTAGAAATGCGACCAATGAAAAAAATGCCACGACATATCAGAGTTATGCACGCACACTACACATAAAGAATAACGAAGGGAAAGTACGTGCAACCATGGAAAATGGGAAAGGGCCTCGTTTGAAGTGGGCCTCCCTTTTGTAGAACTCGCGTGAAGATGTGTGCGTAAAAAACATTGTAATATTAGCCACTTAGTACGTTTCAAACGGACAGTTAATGAACGAGAATAAGGTCGATAACTAATAAGCTATTAATCATCTTACTCCGGTCATTATAACAGATGCACTGTTATAATTGACTATCTGCACAGGAAATTATAGTTGGCCGTACATTGACTCATCTTGTTCGCGATATCTCACTCAAACATGAAGTGTAAGTCGAATAAATTGAAGTTGCAATTATTCGCCCGATTGATATCGATTACACGAGACCTCTCGATTTGGTTATTAATAGCCGCAGCTCACGAACAATGTAATGATGTTAGGGGTCAGATGTAAATGTGGAACAGAACTTTGATGACGGATGGCATTCCTGGGTGTTTCGTTTTGATTTGCTTTCTGCGTGAAACATCACGTAGAAAGAACTAATGGAATTTTCTGATACGATATAAGAAAATATATAGTTCTTCAGTTAGTTCTAAATTGACTGGAAATGTATAAACGTATCATATTAAATTTGTATAGCCTCAGTGAAGAGTTCCAAGTAACATGGTTGAATTGTTAATAGCTCTGCGGCTTTGATTGTCGCGTACGAGGGTTCGAAAGCTCGTGCAATACAAATATGACCTTGGTGACTAAAACCTGTGAAAACCGGCACATGACAAGGGTTGTTCTTTTTATATCATATCACCTACAAACCCATAATTTGCCATGTCAATATTAAACAGGTAAGTTATAAAATTGATGGTTCTCATGTATTCGCAAATTCAAGTGTGTTTTATCTTGATAATTTAAACAACAATCTTCCTTTGTGTTCAGATATCGATTCAATCGATCTTAATGTTTGAGATTAACATTACATTGTACAATGAACAAAGATTGCGCTATTAAGGCTACATAATACGTGCATCTTATGCCATTCACAAATGAATGACATTCGATAATAATGCACGTGCGTTGATGATGAAGTATTCTACGAAGGTTATCAAACACCTATAAGCACAACGAGCGTAGACGAACCAGAGACTATTTTTCAACTCATGTTCACATAGCCCCATAACATGCATAGGTTAACAGACAATTAGATCTTATTACAAGTGGTGATAATTAGTTTATAGCCACATGAATAATGTATGATACGCTACTAGTCACTACACACGCATGCCAATAACGGCTATTGATCGGGTTGATTAATTAAAAGCTATGTTTTGTAAAAATTATACTTAGTTAGGATCAAACAAGGAATTGCGCAGCAAGCCTTAGTCATAATAAAACACAAAAGGGCGAATGATTCACTAGGTATCAACATCAACCTTTATATATTAGAACGTAAAGTTGTTTGCAAATAACGGATCGAATCCGCCATTTTGGTCTGAGTGGAAAATTTTAGTAGGTATCTTAAAATTCCTTGCCCTAAGTGTTATTTTACGAGCAATTGAACAACCTTTTACTACGTTACATTAAGAATTATTAGGTTAGGTATTCAGTAATTTTATTGTAAAAGTATTAAATGTCCAGAATTAATATTCAACGATATCTTCTGGGGAATGATATAAAGTTACAATGCAATGAAGCAAAAACACTGAATCACCGTCGGTATCAGAAAAAAATCTCTGAGCAATATTTTAAATCCCCAGAGAGCATAGTTTCTTTTTGTACTGGACAAGTAAATCAATACCAAAACACTTGTCCAACGTACTTCGTTGGTTTATGTCTTTGGCGACAAAAAATAACTTCAGATTCTCTCATAACGGAACTTCAGAGATATATACGGTACTATCAGTCCCTTGGTATCACTTAATACCAAATCTACATAGTACCAATTATTTCATCAAGGTTGATACAAGGACCATCTTCCATTACTTAATGAGTTGCCCTGCGGTATGGTCGTCAAAAGCCAGTTCATAGGGCTCATCTGTTCATTCACGTTACACGTAATCACTATCATAAACTGAAACGGCTCCCTCGTAAATAAACCGTAGCCATCAATATAGGTCAATCGCGGTAATAACTCTACAATTTATTACACCATTAAAATTAAGATTATTTGATTTTAATTATATCTAGGTAGTTGTTGCAGTTTTTATGAGGACACCGTTAACAAAACGATGTTGTATCGTATTTTTATTATAAGTCAATAATCTTATAAATAGTGAGAGATAGATTATAAAAAGATGACAAATAATTAGGTAATGTACTAGTAGATTTATGCAGATACGTTAGTCAACCTCTTAATATTTTACACCGAATAATGTTTTATCTGTATCACTGCCCTTTTATTGCGAAACCTCACTCAACTCAGAATAAGAATGAACAAACAAAAACTGAAAATCGCTTTTACGCATTACATACAATGCTTAAACGATTGCCCACCCGAGTTTGTCAACAGTATTTAGTTACCAAGTTCTTAAGGAACATTTTGTGCCGATACGAAATTTCTAAGATATAGTATTCACTATGTTTGAACAATTTGGCAGACGTCGAGACTTCCTGGCACCGGTTGATAGCGTTGAAGTCTCAAGTTGCTTGTGATTTGTACTACCTGTGTCATTACAGTGCAAATGTACTGAATGTACGGACGAACTGATTAGAGGGTGATCTATATAATGGTTTTATTACGAACAGATAGTAGTCAGGTCAATTTGCTGGCAACGTTATCGATTTAATGTTTTAGAATTAGTGTCTAGTTACAATTGTTGATATTTCTTCTTTTCATGTTTAATTTGGGGTAGCTATACTTAAATTACGATAAACAAAGACAAGTCTGTCGTCAATTTATCGCACAAAACACATTGTTTGTTTTAGCGCTCAGCGTTTCATGTGCGCAAATCCAGTTATCGGCTTATCTGCAGTCATAACAGATTCTAAGCCGACGATATAAGGGGCGATACGTTTTGTTATTAACACTGAAATTGCAGCACGTTTATAGATTTTCAATTTTGTGACACGTGAACGTGATTCAAGTCTGTTAAGTTTATACTTAAATAGAGCAGTGATTTGAAATTCATTGGAGGTGTGAGAAGGTTCATATTATGTATACTGCGGCACAGCCGTTATTTATGTATTGCACATGCAATGGGAACGTATCGATACATATCACAGTTTACGCGGCGGAACGCTTGACTGGTTCGCTGGTGCTAACACAGTTCGCACGGATAGTGATTAATATGCATACTATTCCGTTGTACGAAGCGCTACACGCTTTGTTTACGTTTAAATTCCATTTATTAGGTAAAATGTGTTAAATGCACACCACACTCATAAACATAAACCAAGAAACAAACCTTTGCGGTAAAGATAAATATGATAAAAAACTCAAATGTCACGCTGTCAAATACTCTCTGTAATAGTTTAAAGTTCTAATTTTCTCTTTATCGTTGTTTACAGATAAAGTGCGCGATGGCGGGATCACTGACCGACTTGTCGAACCTATTATGAACTGGAGAAGCAATAAAGAATAGATAAAGTTCCTAATGAGTCCTATTTGAGGGTCTATTTGGGAGATGGACACACTGCACGTGGGTCATGGGCACAGTAAGGGGTCCAGTCGAAGCCAGTCTCCGTCCACGGCAGATTTGGCGAGGGATCCTGCAGTGGTGACTGATGATGCAGTCATCAGATCCAGAGTACAATCGCCCTCGACTGTACATCATGTTGTCAGTGTAAGTCAATATTTATTTTGTAATGTACAGGTTTTTGTTTAAACACTGCTTAGTGCTTAGTAAGTTGCTTTTTCTAGGTAATGTTATTTTGTAACTAGTAAGTAACACAACGTGAATTGTTTTGGTGGATGATAAAGAGTTCATCCTTTAAGTTTATTTGATAGATCAGGAACATTGAATCCATGTATTATGGCTCAAATCGCATTCGGGGAATATCTTTTTTGTCTGCTATACTGACGGCCATATAAAGAGCTAAGTTACAGTTTCAGTGCTGACAATAGGATCGCCACCTGTGACATTACAATAGCGTATTTACCTGATGGAGCATGGGTGTATCTTTATCCTTCACATACTTGTTAAAACACTTTTAATAATAACATCTTACAAGTTGAATAACAAGGACAAGTGTTTAACTGGTCTAACTGCTGGAACCCTAAAGTTAAAGGCAACTGGAGGTAAAGGCAACCAGGTTGAAGATTCGAAGAATGAAATGTAAGTGCATTTCATTCTTCGAATCTTCAACCTGGTTTTGGCCTTTCTGCGGATCAAGTTGTGAATGCAACCATCTACCAGGTGGTTTGATCATGACCTTTAGTCAGGAAAAGTAAAAAGGCAAGACAAACACCCTTTCTTAAAAAATATTGACTAATTGACTTTAAATTGGACATTGCTTCTAATATCCTTAACCTTATTCGTCAGACGATGCTGATTTTACTTAAGAATATGGTAACCTTACTTCAATAACCTTACAGTAATCTGTAAATCTACTAACGATAACTAGAATCCATTCATGCAGTAACATTCAGACGAACTAATCAATGTGCGAAACACATTGTTCTACACTAAGCCCCGTGTCCTCGACTGGCAATTGGTACTCAGTTGCTAATATCACTATATTATCGCTGTAATAGTCTAATAGAATAATTAATACTTGCGCTTGTTATTCTATATGACAGCATATGACAACTGATGACTGACTGATGACCATGGAACGTCCAAGCACGTATGGTCTTGGCTGTACCAGCCTAGAATTCTAAAATTGTTGTTTTAGTCAGTCGAATAACCACAGGATTAAGTAAGATATATTTTATACATATTGTGGCGACGCATGCCACAAGTCAACGGATGACGTCACAAGAATCCTACATCGCACATGCAAAGTTTACAAGCGAATAAACATGGATAGAAAAATCCAACGAACTGTTGGGCAGAAAGCCCGCCAGGCACGATCACCTCGCCTGGTCGAAGGATCCTTCTTTTCCGATCTTAGGGAACTATACTCTCTGTTTCCTAAACATATTTAATTCATAATTTACAGGGACTTCTAATTCTGCACGTACTGGCGAAATTTTAATGTAAAACCAATACCCACATGTCTATCATTCGGATCCTCACGTGTTTATTTAATATTCACTATTATTATATTCAGTCAATCTTCGCTAATATTGATCGAAGCAGCCTATGTAATAATATGACCAACTTTAAGGATAGACACTAGGATCTATGCGATTTAGGGGCTGAATCGAAACAATATGGCTTTAGGAAACTTATAGCGTTCGACGTCTTGGGCCTTGGGGCGTCTAAAACCTCTAATCGTTACCGTTGTTTGCCATCCGGCGGGAGTTGTCTTGATTTAACGATACTTCTTGTTCTTAATTTTGATTTTATTATAGTAACATAGTATCTAAGTCTATTCTTCATTTAGTGAGAGCCTACAGAAAGAGTCTACAGAAATCTAACTAACAACCAGTTTTTTCATTCGACTATTCATGCCACCATCTTGAAATTTCGATTTCAATCCGTATGTTATAAAAATAACTTCTTAGTTATAACAGTGAGAATATGCACGCATTATTTAAACAAAAATAAATGATTATACATTTTGATGTTTATCAATACTTCAGTGTAAGTCAAAATGTACAATTTGAGATACCCAGTCTACTTCTTTTGCTCTACGAAATATCCTATATTTTTTAGCGACTACATTAAGCACTAGATTTGCCAATAGTCCAAACCTCAATACTAAATTATCAATTCCATTAGTTAATGCTATAATATTTCCCGCGGTATCTTCGAACTAGGAGTTTATGAGCTAATTAGACCCAGACAGATGACAGCGTCAGACACTATTTCAAGTTACTATCAAGGATACAAATCTGTGATGTCTCATCGCAGGGTTCATTGCTGGTGACCCCTGTTACCCTGACTATATTATGATGCATTTAGGACATGTTTCTTGTCGTTTTTTTTTGGAAGTTTAAAGTGTTTTATGTAAAATCTGAGTTTTATGAGAGGTCTATGTTAACTGTAAACTGATTTTCGTGTTCCAGTTGTATTGATCTGGTGTTTTTAACTTCTTTTAATACTTTACTGCCTCGTTGGCCCAGTGTTCGCAAGTTCGACTGCCGACAAGGGTTTGCGGGTCGGGCGAAGTAGTACTGGGTTTTAAAAAAAATATCAGCAGTAGCACGGAGTCTGGAATTGTGCCCGGTATATGGCAATAGGCTCATCCCCTATTACATGGGACTTTATAACATAAATAGTGAAAAGTGGGTGTTACATTTTACAGTGTCATTAATTACCGTAATGTACACCTCTGACTACCCCATCGGGGATAAAAGGCGCGTCGTTATGTTTAATACTTTACATTGGTTGACTTTGGTTTGATAACAGTAAGGATTAGCTTCTTTGACAATGGATAACCCACCTTTAAATATAGGTAAAGTACCTATGTCTAGAAATTAAGAATGGTGTAATATAATTGAATATGGACCCGTGCAACCAATTCTTTCACAAAACGTTTGAAAATTTTTTGGATGGGTTACTATGGTTGTATGTCTATATGCCTCTGTCAAGAATAAACGACAGACTGGTCATATATTTAGTTGCTATTACCTAGTACATATCTATGAATACCAAACGTGTCATGCCAACACGTGATTACTATATAAATAACTAGCGACCCGCCCCGGCTTCGCACGGGTGCAATATGTATATACATACAAACCTTCCTTAAGAATCACTCTATCTATTAAAAAAAACCGCATCAAAATCCGTTGCGTAGTTTTAAAGATCTAAGCATACATACGGACATACAGCGAAAGCGACTTAGTTTTATACTATGTATTGATATAAATTAACAACAAATTGTTTCACAATACAATTTACAATAAATGATTTACTTTCCTCTTGTTAAAATTAGTTTATAATCTACATATTGATCAGTGTTTATTATCTGATGATGCGAATATGAAATAATCCGTAACATTATTATCACTGATTTTTCATGACCACAATTTTCCTTTAGCCACTTTTGTAGATAGTGTATCATGTTTATTATCTACAGCACACGATTTGCTAATCCGACTCCAAAAAGAAACTTTCACCCTTGATTTAGACATTGAGTTAACGAAACCAACGTCTACAATCGCACTAGAAACCACTAGTAAAGAAGAGGTGATGTTGTATCGTGGTGGCCTGAAGGTTTAAGACGCCCAGCTCTCATGCCTCAGGTTCGAAACCTACCGATGGCAAGTACCAATGTGGCTTTTTCCGAGTTATATGTACTTTCTAAGATTATCTGGACACCACTGACAAACGGTGACGGAAAACATTGTGATGAAACCTGGGCTTAAAATTTCTAATTATAAGTTTGTAATTGCCAGCCCGCATTGAGCAAGCGTGGTGATTACAAATTATAAACCTTCTCCGTGTGAGAAGAGACTTTGTTCAGCAGTGGGCATTTATAGGCTGTTGATGATGATGATGTGTAAATGACCAATTCCAGTCCAGTCCATGCAATCAATCCAATTCATCCATCAAAAAATTAAAACTTCCGAACAGGTTCCAAACAAATTTTTCTATAAACACAATGGAATTAGTGTAATGTGTTACTGCAGCAGAAAGTTATTTACTATGTGTTTCCTGGCCTTTACCCAACTAGGTTGGGGTCGCCACCTATCGGGGTCTTAACCAAAATTCTGCAATATTTCTTTAGAAGCTTAGAGAAGAAATGTGACACTGTTTTCTAGACCTCACACTCACACACTTTGTATCAACAAAAAGTATGCAGTTCTATGAATTCTGTATAGTTTTTACAAGATTCATGTGGATATAGGATTACAAATACTTAACCATTTAGTTAAGTAAATATCTTGCTATTACTACTATTCACGTAATTATTTGACATGGAACCCGACTAGTTTCAAGCCATGCTAGAGGCTTATATTCATGAGCAACATTCCGTGACCCGCGACGGGGCGACTATAGCAGCGCGACAGTCGCATGAGGTTTACTAAATCATCTTAAGGTTAACCAGATCTTTTTCATGAGGTTTACCAGAAACTACGAACAAATAGCAAGCCAGTCACCCTTATAAGAACTTGTAAATCTTAGAAGACCAGACTTCGCAAACTTTTATAGCCAATAAAACTACTTGTATATAAATTTTATACTATGTATGTACTTGTCTCACAAAGTGACTCATAGTTCAAACAACTTTCACATAACAAATGTCTCGACTTTGTTTATATCATTTACTTCCCTGATTACACAGATACATAAATGTGCAAAAATGTGTCCTGCATTCTTGGTTTCAAGGTCCATTATTCAAGTTCGTCGTCAAAGTAACACTAGTGTATTTATTGTCGATGTAGCCTTAATTACTTTGTGCACTTGTAAATAATGCTTGGTTTTGTTTGTACTTTACTGTTTTTCATTGTATTTTGTTTGCGGTTGCGGTTGCGATTGTTTGCGGCTCCCGGTGCACCGGCAGGCCCGGCTGCTATCCTCCTAGGTTTAGAACTGCGATCAGTTGGCGGGCAAATGTAATGGCACGGCCGGTCTGAAACTCAACTGATTGTTTAACCGCCCGCCCGTCTTGCGATAATCAACCGCTAAGTTTGCGGGCGATAATCGCAACCGCGGCAGCTGCGGGATCGCAGAAAACTACGGTCTTGTGAGTTTCGAAAATTCCGTCTGCATTCTGTCACCGTGACAGGCGCGGGAACAGATCGCGTCGTGAGTCCCTATCCTAAAGAAGAAAATGCTGCTTTTTTCAACATAGCTTAATTCCCATTTTCACCTACCTTTCCTACATTTACTTGTATAACTGACACCTAAAAGTACAAGTATAAGAGGTTAGTTTGGGTGCTATGCCACGCTAACAACTTTTTAATTAGACATCGTTTAGGAGTGGTTGATAAAAACGGCCATTAGAATAGCACTTTTTCCCCATCGTGTCTCTTGATATATCGAGGCCCCTTCCTCGATATTGCCATAAATAATAACCTGGATAGCAGGGTTGATAAATTGATATATTGACAGGGGGAGACTAGATAAGCTTAATGCTTATTCCTGGATTATTTGAAGAATGATATCGAAAATTGGGGTTGAATGTAGATAGCGATGTATTTACACGTTGGCCCGACAACAAATAGTTGTATAAATTGGTAATTGATTACAATTTAATCGGATTTTGTTGTGAAAAATAGTTATGGATTGTCTCCGTTTGTGATGGGGACTATCAATGGTTTAAACCGCCTCGGTACGGTGACTTGACTAACACGCATGTATAGAAATTGCACGGGCCTGCGGACAGCGAGCATAGGTAACTCTCCGCCAGACTAGAACCAGCTTCTACGCGCGTCTCAATGAGCCATCAGACCACCACGGATGGAGTCCAATAGGGCTGATGTCGAAACGGAACCGCGGAAATCGTAAAAGGTTCACTCCGGCTCGAAGTGCAGAAGTAGGAACGAGGTGGTTTTTAGTCAAGCGTCTGATACTCCCTCCCCCTCACCAAGGCGGAAGAAGTTATTCGATGATTTCCCACCTTAAAAATATAAAATGCATAGAAACTCTAAATAGGTCTATGTCTTTTGCGTGTCTATGAGTTTGTTTGATGTTTACTAGTTGAATTTATTATCTACAACTTCAGGAATATCCAGGCTATCTTTTCTAGCTGACGTAAAAAGGGTTTTTGAAGCACAGACATGAAAGACTCCAAAGACACTAGCCAGATACTTATCTTTAATTTCTCCTTTCTCCGCTAACTTGACATTAAACATGGTTACTCCATTACTCTAGAACAGTTTAGTCATAAGAAAACGCCTCTAAATGCACCATTGTTCGCAAATCATAACAGATTCAGTGCACTAGACAGTTGAACTACGACATTTCGTTTAGAAAGTACTTCAACTTCTATATAAGGCTCTCTTTATATACTTAGTTAGGTATATAGGTACCGCTCTCTAATTATGTATTACGAATATTGATGCGCACGCCCCTTAACCTAGATATGATACCTATAAACTAATCTAGGTTGTATAAAATACTGTTTTAGCTCGGTGAAAAGATTAGGTTCTTATTAAAGTTTCTATTGTTCTTTGAACAGTACTAATATTGAGAATTGTGTTGTATTTTGTTGTATATTATTTTTTATATTGATTAGAGTTTTGGGGATTTTTGCAAATCGTGACACAGTTATTTATAACTGTTTTTATGTGTTATTTGATTAAGTATTTTGTAATACATTTGGTACACCCACGGTACGGAACTTGATTGTATGTAATTGATAATATAAACCCATGTTAGCGTAATTTCCCGATACACAACAGGAGATACACCCCCTCTTTTTCGTCAATTATGCCTGAGTCAGGGGAACTTGGGTTACCCTCCACAAAATCGGAATTTAGGAAATATGACCCGCAGATCGTTATTAAGAGGACTCGGTCAGTTACATTCAGAACGTAATTTTTAACGTCCTTGACGAAGCACCAATTATAAATTGCACATTAATTTCAAAACAAGCTATATTGTTTAGTTAAAAAAGATCAATGAATACACCTAAATACCGACTTAAAGTATAGTTATAATAATTATGTCAATCATTGTTTTGACGTGGCCATCAATACAGTTATCAATCATCTTTGTTTCCATATAAATCCATTTGTCATACCCATTGTTTGGTGCACATAATATAATTTGAACGTGTAAATCTTCATTATAAGACATGATTTCACATGAAGAAGTTCATTATGAATTGTAATAATATATTAAAGTGATATTATATGTTTGTGAATAATCGGTTTAGTCAGTTTTAGGATCGTGGCAAAAGTGTTGTCTAGTCTTTTTGATGTATTTGTTAACTGTACATTGTGTATAAGTAATTTTGAGATTTATATGTGTGTGTCAAAAGTCTAGAGTATCTCTGGAGACGTATCTGTAAATTTTGTGAATGTATTCGAATTTTCCCTTTTTAAGTTTGTTTAAATTAAAGTTATGATTGACTGTCTATCAATAGAAGTATAGAACCTTTTTTATTTCATCACAATTAATCATTATCGGCTGCATTCTAAAACCAACTTATTATAATTATATCGTGCAGCTTGAATTGTTAGCCTATATATTTTCAAACATTTTATCTAGCTAAGTTTTGTCTAAGTCTTTAAGTTTGCCTATAATCACATCAATGGCTAGTCGCAGTTATAAGTCGTACTTAGGTTCATACCAGACCTCCTTTTCGTCAACTATCAACTCCAACCTAGAGCTGGTCTCGACGAGCGCGCTGGGAATTTGCATGCACATTGCAGCAAAGGTGCTTAATTTGTTTTCAACTGATTTTTAAATAAAAATACTCGTTAAACCGCTCCCAGCTTTAATAACTTGTTTCCCTGTCTCAAAAATAAGATAAAAAATCAAATAAGTTGCTTATGAAGGCTTTATTTTATAAACTAGCTTGTACCCGCGGCTTCGCTCGCGTCACAAAAGAATAAAAAGTAGCCTATGTGACATATACCAATACACACAGCGCCATCTATACCAATACTTTTGTTTTTCCTCGGGAATATCAATTTTTTCAGGGTTAAAAAGTACCCTATTATTTAATCCGGATTTCTAACTTTACGTCTGCAAAAATTCAAAGCAATCGGTTGAGTAGTTACGGCGTGAAGGTGGAACAAACAAACAAACTCACTTTCAGATTTATAATATTAGTAAGGATAAAATTAAACCTGTTTTGAATTACAGGAACCGTCTTCAAGTACGTCGTCGTCGCGACATGGCGAGCGCGCGCACCATGTCAAGTCTCATTCCAGGGACTTGGGCAACAGTCCATTGTCAGCTAACACCACCGGGAATAGTTCTAGAGAGTAAGTACACCTATTTAAAAGGATTAGAACCTAGAAAGGATAGTGCTTTTAGCCCTTTTAAAGAACACTCTCATTTTAAGATCAAATTGTCTGTTGTCAAGTGATTATGCATATTCACGATTGAATTGTATGATGATAAATGTCACCAAGGATAAACATTTTGTAAAAAAATATAAGCTGGTATAAAATACTTTGTAACAAAACAATGACTGAGACACGAACACGATACAATTGAATTAAAATCTTCAAGAAAATCTTCAATCTATCTACGTATAGATTGAAGATTCACATTTATAATGAGAGTATTATTGCCCGGTTTCTGTTGTACTTGCAACTTGTAGTCTATTAGCAGCCCCTTATGATACGACACCTGCAGGAAGAATGAGGCTGGATATCAATATGCCTGCACGGTTGGCGCGGTGGCTGGGCAACCGGCTGCCGCGCAACGTGCAGTGGGTTCGATTCCCGCACAAAGCAACTCTGTGTGATCCACAAATTGTGGTTTCGGGTCTGTGTGTCATGTGTATGTAAACTTGTATGTTTGTAAAGGGACCCACGACACTGAAGAAAATCCTACAGTGGGGCAACATTAAAAAAAAAACATGTTTCATTTTTCCTTCACCATCGCTTCTAAACTCACAACTTAAAAACTAATAACGATACCTACATCTTCAGGTTGGAAGACTCGCCACAAAAGAAGGTCCTGCCAGGTCTGATGGCGCCGGGAGACTACCCAAGTGCGGTGTACAGCCCCAACGTGTCGTATGCGCTCTCATCGGCTGATGAGTACGGGTCTCCTGCTTATAGAGGTAAATATGACGTCTACCTATCCCAAAACTGTAGATGATATGTTGTTTTCTTTCTAAAGGATAAGACCTTGTTGGTTAAGTGGTCAAAGCAAAGAGGTCTCGGATAATTGGTAAGGCAAACAGTCTTTGAATTTTCAGGTGTTCAATAATAGAACTAAGCTTAGCACTGCTCGTTGTATGGTGATAGATTCGACTCCCTATTACATGGAATTAGTAGGCTAGATAAAAACGTTTGGCATTGACGGATTAAAGGCGTTTATGTTATACTAGCTTTTACCCGTGGCTTCGCTCGCGTCAAAAAAGGATAAAACGTAGCCATGTGCCATGTGACATATACCAATACACACAGCGCCATCTATACCAATTCTTTTGTTTTCCCTCTGGAATATCAAAATTTTCCGGTATAAAAAGTAGCCTATTATTTAATCCGGATTTCTAACTTTACGTCTGCAAAAATTCAAAGCAATCGGTTTAATAGTTACGGCGTGACAGCGGAACAAACAAACTCACTTTCCGATTTATAATATTAGTAAGGATTATGTTTTGTTACGTTATAAAACTAGTCCTTTGCCGCATTTGTCTTTTTGTTTGTGATAAAGTTAAAAACTACTGAATATATTTGTATAGGTACGGTCGCAACACTTATTAGTTCGTGAACGTTTTATTACCGTAAAATACTATACGTAAATAGATGAGGATAAATTAGTATTGTATTGTAATACATTTGTAATTTAATAAATTAATTATACATGAAATATTTTCAGGATAATTATGATTTTACTAGCTACTTCCTCGTGGTTTCACACGCTCTGTTCAGCTCCTATTGGTCGTAGCGTGATATTTTATAGCCTATAGCCATCCTCAATAAATTCGCTATCCAACACAAAAATAATTAATCAAATCAGACTTGTAGTTATGGAGATTAGCGCGTTCAAACAAACAAACAAAAAAAACAAACTCTTCCACTTTATATAATAGTATCAGATTTCGGTGGTGGTCACAGATAGTATGATTCTATTTCTCATAGAAAATAGTGCTTTATAGCATTTAGCCTTTTTTTAATTATGTACTTTTTTGGTTTTAGGCCAGGATGGGGACTATTCAAATCAAGGTAATTTTATTTATGTACTTTCAAAATTGCCTTTACCCTATCTCTTTTTATATAACAATAGCGGAATTTCATTTAACATTAGATTGTCTTAAGTTCCCTCTTTGAATCGTATTTTTAAATAATTTTGAATAATCTTCTATATAAAAATAAGTCGGGTTTTCCTTCCTGACGCTCTCCAGAACGCACGAACCGATTTCCCCGGTTTTGCATTCGTTGGAAAGGCTCCGTGAGGTTTATAGCAAAGAACATTAAAGTTACATAAAACGAAGCCATCTGGTGGCGAAACGGAGTTCGCCGGGATTACTAGTTTATTTATATACAATATAATGATTATGTTTCTAATAGCGAAAACCTTAACTATCAACCTTACTGCTTATAAAATAAGATACGACAACTAATACCAGATCATTGATGCATTGCTTTTCGAAACTAACTCCCGAATACTGAAAGACTACTCAATTTGAAATTGTACTTAAATATCGTGGCATCTCTCGAGACAGAGAGGCTTTAGTACGAGTTTTTTTACGTTTAAAGTAAAAGTAACGAGTATGCGTTCGGCGCTGTGATTGGTTGCTTCATTGGTGCGGGCCAATCAGAGTGCCGAACGCATACTCATTTCGAATACTTTTAACGTAAATCATACTCGTACTAAGACCTCTGAGGCCTTAGTACGAGTTTTTTTTTTGTTTAAAGTAATCTAAACGAGACGGCGTTTTGTGCTCTGATTGGTTGGTTCATTAGAGCCGGCCAACCACAGCGCCGAACGCGTACTCGTTACTTTTACTTTAAATGAAATAGAAACTCGTACTAAGCCCTCTGAACTATACTTAACCTCTTATCTGCCGACATATGAGACACAATAGGAAACACATTGTGTCTCGCCTCGCGTATATCTACGTCCCCGGCATACCACGGGTTCTTTTTTAACGGTGGAAAATCATCGAAAGATTTCTCCCGCCTTAAGCCCGACTTCAAACTGAGTACCCTCTCAGTATTTGGAAGTAATTGACAAAAACCTACTTTAATATCAAAAGCACATAATTAGAATGTTTTATATAACATTGTGTAGTTAAATATAATATCAACAAACATTATATTACCGCATGATAACGAAAATATTGACCTACCAATTTCTATATCGACCTATTTATCACTCTAATTTAGTTTGTTATTAGACTCTGAACAAAACGGTTTAAAATTAACTGTTAATTAGATATTTAGTTTAAAATAATATAATATTCAATGTATTCTGTTTGTTAACAGGATAACTAATTATTTGTATGGTGCAGTATTTATATAAATGACATAAATACATAATAACAAGTTGTTTGTATATTAAAAACTGGTTTGTTTAAGCGATGTAAGTACTTTGAGATGTTTATTATAATTGGTCATATGTTTTTAATGGTTGTTGCAATGTTATTGCAATTCGATTTTGTGTTTAGTACAAATATTAAGGGCTAATTCACAATGTCTGGGGACCCACAACGTACAAGATACTTTATGTGATCTTTGTGTGATCCACAAATTGTTGTTCCGGGTCTGGGTGTCATGTGTATGTGAACTTGTATGTTTTTAAACGCACGACACAGGATAAAATCCTAGCGTGGGGCAACGATTTTTTTTAAAGATAATTACGGAATTAAAAATGTTATTTATATGACCTATCACGTAAGTTTATCGAATACTTACTTATACTATATGAAGATGGTGAAACAAGTGTTATACATCGTGAAACCATAGTTTCATTTCTTTGTAAAACTATTGTATTACTAAGACAGAACCAGTTTACGAGGTTTTACAGTTTTTTGAAGTACCACAGTACTACTGGTGACTTCTATTTCTTAACATAATAAATACTTTGTTTTCATATTGCGATTATTGTGATTGGAGTATATATTGATAAGCTATCGAGATTTATTCGACATTATTAGTCATCGTTGATTATAATTATTTATTATTATTTTGTATTGGCTCGACATAAACGTCATTCATAAATAGTGTACGCTTTGAGCACGTTTTAATTTAATTTATTGATTATTTTTTCATACATATTTGCATAGTTAGATGCAAATATAAAATTATTATATTATTTATTTTGTACGCAGTAAGGTATACTTCCATAAAGCAAAATAAGTTTAATAAAATCGACCCAGTCTTTTCCGAGTTTGGATCTTACAAACCTGTACTCATGTTTACATCGTGCTCTTATTTTAATTTATTAGGTACTTATTATTCATTTATATCTTTGTTTAAGTGTACAAAAATATAATAGTGAAATGTATATGTTTGTGTTACAGACGAGAGTGACGGAGCGAACGTGACGTCATCGAAGGCGATGGCTGCGATAGCGCACCTCAACTCGAAGATTGAGCGCACTAAGGATCTTATACGACTGGAACAAACTATACGAGATGGTGAGACTCATTTATCTATTACATTCTAGACCTGTTACGTTAGTCTAGCCTAATAAACACTTAAACTGTCAAACACCGCGAGGACACCGGTGACCGCAACCTATTGTTCTTTAATTGTGTCTAATGACGGTACTCAAATGGTTAAAATATTTTGGAAAACATTTGTTGTTGACTGCTTCGTTGATTCAGTGGTCGCAAGTGCGCCTGCCAAGCAAGGGTAGGGTCGAACAAATATAGACCTTTTGGAATTTCGAAACTTCTTACTAAAGGCATAGAGTCAGGAATTGTGTCCGATGTGTATGGAATGGGCTTACTCACTATTACATGAGGCCCATAACATTTCTGTTGAAAAGTGTGTTACATTGTTTATGTGCCTTCGGAGATAAGAAAGCGGATTAGCAAGCTGAAGCTGAAGCAGTGAGTAGGAGGGTATAGAACGTCCACCCGCAAGATATTAATGTCAAAAATATGTGTTATTGCTTGCAGACAATGTAAACGAGTACCTTAAACTTGCGGCGAATGCAGACAAGCAGCAGTTGCAACGTATCAAGGCGGTGTTTGAGAAGAAGAACCAGAAGAGTGCGCTCTGTATCGCGCAGTTACAGAAGAAATTGGAAGGATATAACAAACGGATCAAGAGTTGGGAGGTGAGATCACACTTCTACGTAATATATTAAATGTATTCTATCAGCTAGGCTATTGTGTAACTGTCAGTCCGAAACGTCGAAGTGGACTCGATCGGATTCGCATCGTCATTGGCTGTGAAAATAATCTCGATCAATGACGTGATTTGAATAGCCTAGTAAAATGAGAATATGGAAGAAAAATTTCATTTATTTCCGTTCCTAGTAATTTCTACGGATTATACTTTTGTTTGTATTGGATCAAATTTGGCGTAATATCAGTACAGTACAGCGTCAGTCAAGTAGACGCAAGAGCAACTGCTTAACATGAACTTTCACTTGTATATTCGAGTCTTATTATATTGCATGTTTACAGTCACTCTTTTTCCCGACAGTCATTCGGTTTAGAGCAATTGAAAATGCCTTTGGGGAATGGTTTAATATACGTTATTGTTCTTTGAAGACGCAAACACGAATAAAAGTTTTTATGTTTTAATAGGGTAGAAGCCTATTTTTTATTTTAATGTCCGTCTGGTAGATTATTTTAAATCATTAGACACGTATTTTTTATTTTCTTACAGAAACGAATATTGATTTCGACGATATATTGATTTGAAATGTCGCGTGACGCCACTTCTATTATTTACGTAGAAATAACGTTTTTGCCTCCACTCCTAAACTTTGATTCGTTTTATCTAAGTATTGCTTTATTATACGACAAAATAAAAAAATACGTGTCTAATATTTTTTCATTACCTAACTTACGGACTAATTAGATTTTTTATTTTCATACCCTGTTATCATCCCAATTTATCCTATAATTTTTAGTTAATTGAATGCCTACCCTGTAATAATATCACCCGCAATAGATTCGAAGTGTAGCGTGCAGTTGATCATGTTGCAGCAACATGGTACGAGCGGGCAGGCACACCGCCAGCCCAGGGAGGTGCTGCGGGACATGGGGCAGGGACTCAAGTGAGTACACACCTCAACATTGCACTACTGGGAGACTCCCGTGTTACGAAGGCATTTACAATCAATAACAGATCAATCAAATCACCCTCATTGTCTGCCCAGTTGACGCAGTGGTTGGGCTGCCACAAATTCCGAGTCTCTGTGTGACCATCATCAACAAATTATGAGAATGAACTGCTTCACGATGGGGCTCCTCTACAAGAGGAATTTCCCTATATGTGAGATGACGACACAGAAGTAAATCCTAATGTGATTGGTGTCTGTGGAACAATGTTTAATAAACTCACATCTGATTGATATGTATTTGACTGCAAGGTTGGCATGGCTGGGCAACTGGCTGCCGCGCATCGTGTCACGGGTTCGATTCCCGCACGGAACAACTCTTTGTGTGATCCACAAATTGTTCTTTCAGGTCTGGGCGTCATGTGTATGTGAAATTGTATGTTTGTAAACGCACCCAACGACACAAGAGAAAATCTTAGTATTTTTTTTTTAACGAGGGAAGAGTGTCGGGAAAAACGGGAGTGTCAGACTTATACTGACTAAAAACCACCCTGTTACTACTCCTGCACTTCGAGCCAGAGCCCCGGCAACCCGTTAATTTCTCGGCAGCTAAAATCTTAGTATGGAGCAACGTTTTTTTTAAAAAAAACAACCATAATTATCATTCATACTACATTTAAACACCAGCCACATGCACCCATGTATCCTAACTGTAACGTTCCCCTGGCAGGAACGTCGGCGGCAACATCCGCGACGGTATCACGGGTCTGGGCGGCAGTGTCATGGCGGCGCCGCGCGAGTTCGCGCACCTGTTCTCGCGCTCCAACCGGTTCGGCTCCGCCGACAACATCGCCCAGCTCGCCGGTCTGTATTATACACTCCTGTTTGGAACTATTAAACATATTTTTTTAAATGTTGGAAGGCTTTTCGGTGATATTTCCAGTACATACGGTAAAATGGGTTAGTTAAATATTCACCCCGTTATACAGTAATACCCTTAAAAATTTATACAGAATCCTAACTCAAAATCACTAATATGTTACGTCGATAAAGCGTTGAAAATTTTACAGTTCTATCATAAGAATCAAAATAATAACTGGATCTTGTTTCTATGTAACTGGAAATATCATTAAAAAGCGAAACTGCAATAATTATAGGCAGTGGCTATACAAACGTAGTTATCAAATGGATTCATATATCTATACTTATCAATGAATTTTCATTGTATGACCACTGCCTAAATAAGGTAGAAGTTTTGCTGTGACACTTAGTCACTCACTATAACAGAAAACATACATACAGACGGTACACACAATTTCCAAAAACATACAAAGACAAAGTATCTATCCATTAAAATATATTTCCTTATATCTTTACTTTTCTTCTTCTAAAAAAAAAAAAATGTAAATATGGCCTTAATTGTAGTCAGTAAAGCTTTGGTTGTTTGCTTTTTATTTCCATAGTCTATTTTCGAATTTAGTTTCCATTTCAAACGTTTTTTGTGGTCATAAAACTGAAGAAATCTATTCTATTTTTGCTTTCATTATTTTCCATAAATATATATTGTATCAACACATACTATAATATTAGATTTATTATAGTCATAAAACTCCTTTTTTAAAGCGGGTTCTCATTCATAATCTGGTTTTACCATTAAATAAATGTCAAATTGTAATACTACGTTTAAATATGTCATGCAACATGTTACTGCAACATTATCATAACTTTGTGTCTTATATTATAAGACTCGGTATCTGAAGGCCTAATACGTGTCTGTTTTATGTCTAATGAGATTGAAACGTTACTACGTTTAGCCCTCTGATTGGGTGGCTCATTGGAGCAGTCCAATCAGAGCGCTGAACGTCATAAGCGTGTCGATCACGTTCAACGTAAAACAACTCGTTGTACTAAGCCCTGTGTTGCACATCTTGTTATGTTACGTAGCAGGTATTGTAACATGTTGCTAAAACGATCTATGTTACATGACGTATTAGTAAACGTATAGTCTTTATATCAGTCATTAGGTAATATTTTATCAATAAACATGTCTTAAAAGATAATTCACATTTATATAATATCCTATGTATTTTCTCACACAGAGAACACGGGTCCTTGTGAGTATATATGTATATAAGTGTAGACCATTTGTATCTAATTTCCATTATTACATTGTAGCTAACTACTAAACTCATACAATCTAATTCTTCCACCCTTACTTTAAGGTTCAATTTCAATTGGTGAATAATAACTAACTTTACTAAAGAAATTATGAGTCGATTTATTGTAATTACTATTCCATTGTAGTTTGAATTATGTCGTGGATAGATTCTCTTGAAAATACCAAAGCACAACTGTTTAATTTTATCTAGTAGTAGCACGATTATCCCCCTTCCCCCTAAAAGACCGGCAATGCACCTGTGACTCCTCTAGTGCGAGTATCCATGGGCGGCACTGATCACTTACAGGTGATCCATCTGATCGTATACCCCTATCCGAACAAAACTATTTTATGATGTATTCATGTTTTTGTAGGTATAGAAAAACGCCGGGATACAGGTAAAACTGAGATTGGTAACCGATTTATGCTAATTTATCTACGAATTTAATCTAATTCCTCGCTAATTCTCCTTTTTATATGTATTTCTTTTAATTATGCCATAATTTGTGCCCAATGTATAACAATCAGCTTCCTCTCTATAAAACCTTATTTATTATATAGTATTTCGTACTTTTAAATCCACTCTGATGACTCCCTTTTACCTAGAATCCATATCATAAATAATAAAAAGTTAGTGGAACATTGTAAAAATGTACACCTCTGTCTATCCCTATTAAAAGTCAAAATAAGTTATTTAATTACTTACACCAAAAAAGCCCTTGTGAAAGTCAAAACACAAAAAAACGTTCGTCGTTCGTTAGTCTTGCTAAAACTCGAGAACGGCTGAACCGATTTGGTAAATTTTAGTCTTGAAATGTTCGTGGAAGTTTAAAATGAGAAAATTATGTTTTAGGCGGTACGAAGTATGCCAGGTCCGCTAGTTATATATTAAAAATGTCAGTCTGTCGGTCAGTCCTCTAGTGAAGCTATATGCTCGTTTCAAAACGTAGATGCCAATGGAGAAGAACGACCAAGGAACTCCATAGGTTCTTTCATCCTTTCTCAATCAGGTTGAATCTCATTATCAGAGATTAAAAGCAGTAATATTAACAAAACAACTACATTCAAAATCCCTTATATACATGAAAAACTCCTTCGTGACTAGCATTACAATAATATGCAGTTGTGCAGACATACCCGTTCATAATTTATATGTATGTGAGTGCTTATTATACTCATGGTCACTGCGAGATAAAACGCTGAACGACCAGTCACGCTGCTGTAATATTTTACGGTTAGTTTTCCTTCAGATAACTGTGAACAATTTTCATGTGATATAGAGTTTAATTTGATAGAATCTTGATATGTTATGTCAGTTTAGAATATGTTTTGTTAACTGTAATATATCTGTCATATCAAAATTACTAAAGGCATCATTTGTAATTAAACTAGCGACCCGCCTCGGCTTCGCACGGGTGCAATATGCATGTATTATACATATAAACCTTGCTTAAGAATCACTGTATTAAAAAAACCGCATCAAAATCCTTTGCGTAGTTTTAAAGATCTAAGCGTACATAGGGTCAGACAGACGGCGGATAGACTTGTGTTTTATACTATGTAGTGAATTTCACAAGTCACAATATGATTAAGTGAACTGAAATCATCTTTAATTGTCGTTGAATTTTATGGCTGTGTGAAAACACTGCCCAAATCCATAGTCTTATAGAGTAAGGCTAGAAGTAATATTAGTCAACAATAAATCACTTAGGCTAATGGATCAACACAATACAATTACTTATTTAAATATTGATTCGCTAATAACTTAGTTGTACGGCACACAAAACCTCGATAATATGATACAATAATCTTATCACTTATCATGAATCATTCCTTTGATTAGTCGTGTCATATACAATACTGTAGTTTTGGAGTTTATCCCATACATAAACACAAACTCCATTTTATTACGGTGATAGTACCAAGTTTCACTGCACTCATTAGCTTTTGTAATTATCATTCACTAACTTCTGCCCGCGACTTCGTACGCGCAATACCGTTTTCTCCCGTTCCCATAAAATTTTCGGGATGTTTTTCTATCATAAAAAACATCTTCTGACAATAACAAACACAACAAACAAAAAAATCAGCCAAATCGATCCATTTTTATATATATAGATAATAATGATACACAAATTTTCGTATACAGCATGGTTTGAAGTGTAGTTACTCTTGAAGAAACATACTGCCAATTTTAATCTCAATGTTTATAAAAATTGAGAGTGCTCTTATCAACAAGTCATTGACACATTGCTCTGCCTAAAATGATAATGGCCTTAACAACATTAAAATCTTTATTACTACATAGCTGCCACTCTTTTACCAAGCAATTTCAAATTCCATCAATCAATAAAACAAATCATTTGTTTCTTATCGCCACACGCGAATTAATTAAAACCAAACCAATTGCATCAGAAAAACAAACTTTACCTTCATAACAATATGACTCAGAATACAAAGTTCGATTACATATTTGTTTATAATCCACTCATTCATCTAAAAAGAATGAATATTAGTACTTCGCATAGAAAATACATGGTCGTATGACTAATATATATGTACCTAAACACCTGACATAGCACTTGTCATGTATCTAGATAGTTTGACAGCGATTTATCTTTATATCATACTTGATTTTGCCTGCGGCTTTACTTGCGATCTTTTAATCTGATGAAAGCAAATAAAAGATGCAAATTTTTTTATTACAAAATAGTTCGCATACTAATTTTTAGCTTGAAAATTACAAAATGCAATAAGTACAAACGTCCACCCCTCATTTTAGAGAAATAGAAAATAGACAGATACAAAAAGTAGCCTATGTTATTCTCTATGCCTTCAACTACCACTACTTCAAAAATAACGTTAATTCATCAGACTATCATAATCATAAAAGACGGAAAAACAAACAGACACACGCTATCACATTTGTAATATTAGTATGTATATGTAATCTACAAAATATAGTTAGTGTTTAGTGAAACTCAGTGCGCTACAGTCGTGATGCGATGCTCTTCAATAAGTGTAAACGCTGCCGAAAGAAATGTAAATATATTTATAATATATCCTTTAATGCCGTCATACTATGACACATTATTATGTGATTATTATTTATTTAATTGTGTAAAAATGAAAGCCAATTTGTATATGTCGTTAGTCTATTGAAATGTGAACAAGAATCGTGTTTAGTTTGTAGTGGTTTATGGAAACATTATTTAATAAGCTAACGTTATTTTAAGAACGTGGTTTTAAAATTCATTTTACTTGTCATTCCTCTTACATGTTTATCTAGGTTCCCAATATGACTGATTGTTACTGCTAGTATTTTTAACACAATCTTCGAAATATTCATAGTAAGACAGCTAGTATTTTTAACATCTTTTATGACATACATCAACAAAAACAACGACATTGCACTAGGCACTAGATAAAAACAGGTACTTAGCTAAGTAACACAGACCACGTATTACCTAGGGCACCTAGACTCACTCATCTAACTATGGTAATTGCTGTGATCCCTGCTTGTCATTTAGCGAACACAGAGTAGTAAGATAATGGAGTGCTAATGTGACTTGGCGATGTATGCACGAACTAATTTGCATATATCGTCATTGAGTATTGTGTGATAATTTGAAACTATGCGACGAAGTAAGACCTAAAAGTGCGATATTTGTGTAAATTAAAGTAATGTCTAGTGCTAAAACTGGGGACTAAAAATTTCGACTGAAATAAACAACCGATTTTAATACAAAATCATAGTCGTATGGAGCTTGACAAATACTGAGATCAATCCAAAGGTTTTGGCTTACCATTGATTACTAATTTCAATCGTATGTTTACTTCCCTTTCTATGATCACTCAAATTAGTTTACACCAGTATTACAACAATAGTTTTTTCTTCGCCATATTCAAGTATTAGTGAAGTAATAATTATAATTAAACCACATTAGCACTCCATGAAACAATTACTCCGTGCAAATATACAAGTGTCAATTTGTGTTGCTTATCATGCGATGTCCTTTTGCACGCCAGCGCCTCCTCACGCGGAACTAAGAGGTAAATAAACGTTTTTATATACAATACATTATGTATAGAAGGTATATATAGAAGGTTACAAGTATATAAGAACTATGAGTTATATTTGCTAAGTTTTATGTATGGTTGCTAATCCACTATTGAGTTCTAGAACTTTAAACCACCTTCACAAGATATGTGATGTCATATTGTATTGTTTGCCTTATCAACTTCACAGTAGGCACAGTAGCTGAGAGACACGCTGTTGTGCTATGTTTTGGGGATTTGATTCCCACACATATAATATATTGTGTCATACATAAATTGTGCATCTGGGTCTGGGGGGATATGTATTTGTAATTTGTGTTTGTCAATGCACTCACGACACTACCGAATACATAAAAAACACTTTGTTTATGGATGTAGTTGTAAATGTATGTTACGATTATCATTACATTTTCAACCGACTTCAAAGAAGAAGGAGGTTCTCAATTCGATTGTATTTTTTTATACAATATGGCTATCATTAGTAATTAATGGTAGTGGATTAGCAATATTTTTATCAAAAATATATGTAGGTATTGTCTTACAATTTTATTTTAAATTTTCAGAGACAATATGCCAGATCGTAAAAAAACTAAAACGAAATTGCTATTTGCTTCTAATTTCACTGAAAACGAATTATTATGTTTTCGGCTAACGTAACTGTTTCACGAGGAACTCTACTAGTTTCAAGCCATGCTAGAGGCTCATATTCATGAGCAGCATTCCGCGACCCGCGACGCGTCGTCTGTCGCGCTGCTACTGAGCAGTGTTCAGTATCGGCGCAAGTGCAAAGCTGAAAACATAATAATTAATTGAGTACGTCTCGCGAAAGTTTTAATTCACTGAAAACGCTATAACAGAAGCTTTTCACAATAATTGGTATTGGCATTGGTTTATTTTTATATAAATACTTTGCATAACTAATTCGGTCTAACTTGGTTTCTTTTGATTTCGCTAATATATTTAATGAAGGTTCTTTTGACTTTTTTAGAATTATAATTTTTTAATTAACAAAAGTAGTCGTTATGAGCCATAATTAGTTGATAATGTAGTTAGAAAACTAGGTCTTTTTAAGATTAGTTTATTATGATATCCCTCTATTTGTCACATTTTTTTATTATGAATCACAAAGATTAACTAATTTTAGGATTAGTAACTTGTACATTTTTTGTAAATATTTAAAAAAAAAGCAATTACATAAGAAATCTATATCTTTCGCCTTCCTTGGCTTCTTCATCTATTGGTATGAATATAAATCTATTTAAATTATGTAAAAAGAGTAAACAATATTTCCATTTTAGCATGTATTATGTAATTACATCTCTCTCTTCTTCTCTATGAATTGAGCACTATCTCACTCTATCTAATTTCTACTCATTTTTATTTTCAAAATCCACTGTATACACACTCCCTACATTATGTTATTTTGTTTTGTTTTTTATGTTTCGGGTACATCTTTTACAATGAGAAATGGTTAAAAAATCAATTCATGTAGAAACGATGAAAATTATACTTGATTACAAAAATAATAGAGTAATTGAAAGTTTTGAAAACTGCCAATGGGTCTATTCAGAATCACCGTTATTGCATTACACAAGATAGGTTGAAGTCACTGTATGAAAAATACAGACAATCAGTTTATCTAGTAAAAACCCACTAACTGGTAACTGGGAAAGGCCATAATCTTTTTAAAACGCTCCTGAGTGTGAAATGTTATTTTATCGCCCAAATTTTTACAAGAGCTTACCCAAAATTACATTACTAAACGGATTGCTCTCTTAGCCTTATTTTATCGCCCAGGTTTTTAAGGAGAACTGATCTATAATTAGTGTACTACTTGACTAGTATCAAATTGACAAGAAGTCGCGTGTTACTCATGTGAAAATACTAAGACTCTACTAGTTTCGACCCACAGAGGGTTCCTTATGAGCAGAGTTCGCGATCGCGGCGATGTTGCGCAGCCTACTGAAACTAGTAGATCTTTTCTCAGTATTTTCACGTGAGTAACCCGGAATTTTTAGTCAATTTAGTATGTCTCACGATAATTATTATAAAAACAATACCAAATTGATTTGCAAAACCAATTCTCATTCTAAAAGTCTATACCTCCAACACAAATATATCCGTCATGTATTGAGTATTGCTACAACGTGTTAGCGAACGCGTCGTCTGAAGGATCCCGCGCGTCAGAGGCCGGTGAGGCAGCCGCACCGAGAGGCTCCACGTTACCCCGCGCCGCCACGTCACCAGCGCCCAAGTTCTCGCCTGAAGCATCGCCCAGTTCCTCTGTTACGAGTGAAGGAGCGCCGTAAGTATCTTATTTACTAATATTGTAGAATGTTGATGATGATTACATACATATCTGCTCTGTTGATGCGCTTGCGCAACGTTTCGCGGATTGGATAACCGCACTGACGAAAAAGGGCTAATGAATTTTTTGAAATTAAAATTATTATCGTCGGAAGGTATCTAATCTCCGTGATCCGAAGATGAACCTTTTCACTCAGTCCAGGTTGTCAGTCCGATGAGTATCTATAACAATCCTAGACGGAAGGACAGCGACCAGTCAAAGTAGAGCTTTGGAAATCAGTATACTGTATTATCCGATTTTGATTTATCTTAATACGTAATTTTTGAAGTCTCCGAAGTATAAAATTATGAAAACTTTAAAATAAATATATCCTTTTTATTTATTCAGGTACCCAGCACAGACCGGTTCGAATAACATATCGGAGCCGACATTTACCCTGAAACCCATACTGAATGAGTTGCGCGAGCGCCGGGAAGACTACGAGCGGCTGTCTGAGAAGATAGACGCATTGAAGGTGGTAATTACGATACCATTTATTCTTTAGCACTTCAGACATTATCATTTATGTGTGTTTTGAGCAGTAAAAGTATATATAGATTTGTTTTATTCGCCGAAGAAATAGCCAGCAGTAAAAATTTCGATTTCAACTCCCAGATTCTTGTTGAGTTTTTACCAATTAGGCAAATATAATGCCGATCTCTGCTGATAGACTATTCATACACAGAGAAAGGGATTCAAATCTTCCTAAACGCTTGCCAATCATTTTGTTCCAGTCGGCATCTGTTCTATTATATCCTCTCGCGCGCTTCTCGTACACACCGGTAAACGCGCGTTCTCGTACACACGGGTAAATATTATAATAGAAAAGCGAATTAACTATTCTGTTCAATCAAGTAAAGAACAGGTTGCAAACTTGAAAATACACTACACAGAAAAAATATACACTCGGTGCGCGTTTCTCGTACACCCGGGTGTACAATTGCGCGATGGGCACTCAACTCTCTCTCTCTCAACGTACACCCGTGTGTACGAGAAACACGCGAGAGGATATTATCAGACAATAGTATTCTTTGTACAGAACCTGTCACAAGAGGTATCGTTCCTGTCGGCCGCACTACAGGAGGAGCGCTTCAAGACTGAGCGGTTGGAGGAACAAATCAATGATCTCACTGAACTACACCAAAATGAGGTAATATACACTTACATGATTGTTTTATAAGCCTTACTTGACGTTTTCAGATATTGATATTTTAATTGTTGATAGTATCAAATTATACATTTCTTAGAATGGGGTAGTCTTTTTACGACATAACACAACATCACGCCTTTTATCCCCGAAGGGGTAGGCCGAGGTGTACATTATGCTACTGTACAATGTAACACCCACTTTTCACTATTTATGTTATGAGTCCCATGTAATAGGGGGTGAGCATATTGCCTTATACCGGGCACAATTCGAGGCTCCGTGCTACTACTGTGATTTTTTTTGAAAAACCCAGTAATACTTTGCCCGACCCGGGAATCGAACCCGAGACCTCTTGCCCGGCAGTCGCACTTGGGACGACTCGGCCAATGAGGCAGTAAATTTTATAATGAATTTGTAAACATCGTCTGTGACGCTAGTGTAGAATTAAGTCTTCAATTAGATATTTTGATTGTTAACATAGTACTTCGAGAAAGGGCTGTCTAAAGTATACTTTCCCTTTACGCTAGTTTTGTTATTATTATCGTTGTAGTTACTAGTAAGTATTTATCTTCTTACCAAATGCCCAATAAACCATCATCAGTTCCAAAAGAGGTACCGGTGTAGGTATCAAGGCTAGAATTTTGACTTATTTAGGGTTTCCAAAAAGCTATGGATAACAGACATGTTATTAGTTATTGATAATTTTGTATTTCGTTTATAGGTGGAGAACCTAAAGCAAGCTTTAACGGACGTGGAGGAGAAGGTTCAATACCAGAGCGAGGAGCGGATACGAGATATACACGAAGCGCTCGACCTCTGTCAGACTAAAGTGAGTGCTATTGTAGTAGAATTTAAGTTTAAGTTGCATTAACATTGCAATCTTATTAATACTATACTATTATTTCGAAGTATATATGTAGTTATTTCTATTATTGTACATACAGGTAAAGATGGAACTGTTTTAAGTTCCAAAATAATTAGTAACTATGATACAACAACTTCCTATTCTCAAAGACGAAATAAAAAATATCTAATTTTAACCTCCTTAGACATCATACATACATAACATCACACCTTTTATCCCCGCGGGGTAGGCATGGGTGCACATTTCAGCACTTATTGCCACTGTATAATGTAATACCCACTTTTCACTACTTATGTTATGAGTCCCCATGTAATAAATGCATGCAAGTAATGCATGCCATATACCGGGCACAATTCCAGATGCCGTGCTATTACTGAGCATTTTTAGAAACCATAGTGATACTTTGTCCGATCCGAGAAACGAACCCGAGAACCCTTGCTCGGCAGTCGCATATACGAACACTCGTTAGATATAAAATCTAAAAACTGTCAAATCATACCCGACCCCCAAACTTTAAAATGTCTATCAATAGAAGGAATAAATCATACAGGTCGTGTGTCATAGGACTTTAACCGGAAATTACCCTATCTCCTTCCAGATCAGCAAGCTAGAGCAATGGATGGCAGGTGGGGGCGGCGGCGCGGGCGGGGCTGGCGGCGCCGGGGACGCGGCCGGCGGGGCGCTGCCCCCGCGTCTGTTACTCGTCAAACTGTTGAATGTCGCACTCACTCTACTACAGCTCGCCTTGTTACTCGTTGCTACCATTGCCGGAGTCGCTATGCCGTTTTTAAGGACTAGGTAAACATAGACTTTAAATTTAATATTATAGGGATATGTTGAAAGAAAGAAAGAAAAGAAAGAAAATGTATTTATTTGGCCAATGGCACACGAAAATAAGGATCATTACATAGAAATAAAAAAATACAGTGAAAATAAAAACAAAATAAAAACAAAACATTAATAATAGATCTTATAAAAGAGAAAAGAGATGAACAAAAATCATTAAAACATAACAAAATATAATTAGAATAATAACCGAAACTAAAAAAACTAATAACAAAATATATATAGATATATAGAGATATAAAAATAATAAAGTGCGCGTGCCCAGGCCAAAAGGTCGACCACCTCAGCATATAGTTGAGTGTTCCTGCCCAACGCTGGTTTTCAGGTGGCATGCACATGTTGAGTCGGTTCCTAACCATGATTACCTCGTGTGCAAAATACGAAATTCTACTTTTTTGAGTGGGCAAAATCATCCAATAACTTCTTTTGCCTCACTCGGGCGGTTAGGGGGTGTCAGACTCTTACTGACTAAAAACTACCCCGTTCCTACTCCTGCACTTCGAGCCGAAGCCCCGGTAACCCGTTAAGTCCTCCGCGGCTCTGTATCGGCTTCAGCTCTATGGGGTCCCATCCGTGGTGGTCTGATGGCTCTTTGAGGCGCAGTACGCTGGGGATACGAAATCCTCGTAACTGACTTACTGATAATGATACAACTCTCGCCGCATGTCTATATAATAAACATATTGTCTATATGTCGAACACATACACAAAAAAAAAAAAAAAATAAAATCACTGCACCCTACTCTGATTCTAAACATCAGATGAAGGATAAATACGAAGAAAAATTGCTGTAAATGTGTTTGTATATGTTTAACGCATTCAGTGCCCATGACGCGTCTGTGCGTTTTGTGACACGACGCTATGTGCCCGGGACTCAAATATGCGTTCTATTCATTTGACCCTTTTTTTACCTGCTGCCCGTCGACGCGTCCGAGGGTCTATTGTTTCGAAACCCATATTTACACATATGTACTTCCTTATCTGATTTCTTTGATAAAGGTCATTACACACTTTGTACGAATTATAAAAAAAACTTATTCTACTACTACCAATGCAATAATCAATAATTTTGTTCAGCCGTTTCGAAATATAAATATACTTAGAACAATTGAAAAAAGAAATATCCACGTAAGACTACGATCACCTTTGGTGGTATTTTTTTCAATGTTATATCGATCATCTCTTTTTTTTCCAAGAAACCTAAAATTTCACATAACACATACATACGCACAATAGAATCACATTAGTTTGCTGATAACGGCAATACAATGCACGGCGGTGCCTTAGAAGATTTTAAATACCACGAGAGCTAAAGCCAAAATCTACCTAGATCCCGCCTGGGTGAGGCGGAAGGGAGTGTCAGACTCTTACTGACTAAAAACCACCCCGTTCCTTCTCCTGCACGTCGAGCCGGAGCCCCGGTTACCCGTTAGGTTCTCCGCGACTCCGAATCGGCATCGGCCCTATTGGGCCCCATCTGTGGTGGTCTGATGGCTCTTTGAGGCGCGCGCGGAACGCGACGCGCCGTACGCTCGGGTCTGTTTCTGGTCGGACGGGGAGCCACCCATGCTCGCCGTCCGCAGGCCCGCGCTTACGGTGGCCGGAGATCGTCTCGCGATCCCCGACGCCCGGTGTGTCCTTCGCGATGGCTGGGTTGCGAGGAGGCAGCGCTTCGCTGCCTCACGCGTCCCGCCTCCTCCTTAGCTAGCATGACTGCTTCGCAAAAGGAGGAGACGGCATCCCAATCCCCCTCGCTCCGCATCATGGCCTGCACTAGGCCCGGACGCGAGAGGTCGCCATCGCCGATCACTTCCCTGAGGGCACGGCGGTGCTCAGCCCACGCAGGGCATTCTCCCACTGTGTGTTCCACCGTGTCCTCAGGGCGGTCCTCGCAGTGATGACACCCGGGCGTTTCCTCCCGCCCCATCAGACACAGGTACCTCCCGAAACTTCCATGTCCGGTGAGGACCTGCGTCAGGCGGTAGGTGAGGACGCCGTAGCGTCTCTCAAGCCACTCCTCAAAGAGGGGACTTACCGCTGCAATGGCAGCGAGCCCAGCCCCCGGTTGCGACAGTCGTTGCTGCCATTCCGCCATGAGATCGCGCCGGAGCTCATCCCGCCACGCACTTATTTGGCGCGGCAGCGGAGTTTCGCCCCGGCGACGTGCCTCCGCGCGCATGTTATACACGCGCGCGAACTCTTATCTACATACGCACAATAGAATCACATTAGTTTGCTGATAACGGCAATACAATGCACGGCGGTGCCTTTGAAGATTTTAAATACCATATCCACCAGGCGCTATAGCCAACTATCGAAATGTTTTAGGATAAACCTATACGAGATAATAAGTACCTTACTAAATATCTATGGTGAAAGACTATAATTTATATATACTGGCATCGCGTCGTGACATACGTTTAAAAATCCAACATCAACCTCCTGTTTTTGAAGTTGGTTAATTAGTATACTAAACCCATCCCCTAAATGTAACAGAAGTTTTTCTGAAAACCGCATCAAAATCGGTTCAACCAATCGCGAGATAATCGCGTACAAACAAACATACAGGTCAAACTGAGAACCTCATTTTTTTTAAGTCGGTTAAAATACAACAATGTTCTAAATATAAATCTACTTACCAATTATAGAATTATTACGTTCATCCTTAGTTTATATTTAGATAAATTTTTCAATTTCACTACATAAAATAAATAATCTTATGGATTATAAATTCCATTACAGTGTGTCATGACCCTAACTTTTATCTACAGATACATAATATTCTATCGTATTTTCGTAAGTATATAACAAACGCACAGACGCGTCACGGGCACTCGCCGAGAGTCGAACGGACGCATATATGAGTTTCGGGCACACGGTGGGAGCCGTAAGAACGCGTATATGAGTTTCCGGCACACGAAAAGGGCAAACATTGAACGCAATAGTGCGTGCGGGGCACTGTAGGATGTCTTATAATTCGGGCACTGGAGAAAATCCACTGGGCAGTGAATGCGTTAACGTTAAACCATAGTTATAATAATTTATATCTGATTGCCATAAGGCATTAACTATGTTGAAAATATCATTATTCTTCATTTTGTGTGCATTGAAGTTGAAATCTCTTGTCACAATCTCCCTTAATTTTCTTTTTAACATCCATACACTACATTTGTTACTATAATTTCACAATATTAACTCCTAAAACTACATTTCCAGAGTTCGCGTCCTAACAACAAGTCTAGCAGTAATGCTCGGCGTGATGGTGCTGAAGCAGTGGCCGGAAGTGACGCAGCTGTCGGAGCACCTCGTGCGGCGCCTCAAGGAGTACTTGCTGGACAAGCACACCGACAGGTAATGGCGCGGCGCGCGGCGGGCCCAGGCTGTGGCACGACTTATGTTATACTACACTGCTATACTAACCACACTTGGGAGAAGGGGATTTAGGGGGGAAGGGGGTTATACAGAATTTCCAAGTGCAATTTTGAGTTTATTAAGTTTTGAATAGCAACTAGAATATACAATGTTATTTTGTGTATTATCAGACAGTTAAATATCGATATTGCCAGTTATTATTGTAGTATTCAAGTCTGATTATTGAATTTAATTATCAATTAAACTTTGCAGTCTCTAATAGCAATATTTAAAAAAGATCTTGCCCCCAAACATCAGTATTATTTACCAAAGAGTCGTATAAACAAAATTTATCGAACCTGGAACCCAGTGTGAGGGAAAGTGATAAAACAAAGGTTACGTATGTGCCGGTCCAGAATAGATTAAACGTTAAGCATTATTTAGGTAATAATTCTAATTGATTATATTATATTATATAATATATAGACAAAATATTAGATCACCACTGGTTTTTGGACATAAGAAAACAGCTTAAAATTAAGGCAAACACCGTTTTGTTCATTTTACTTAAAAAATAAATGTTGATATATTATTAAAACTGTAAAAAACAATGCAAACTAATATCGATAATTTAAAACGCAACTCTAAATTATCGATAACACAAATAAACATCACTAAAGTCATGATTTATTTTAAACATTGACAATAATTTACAAATAGGCTTCACTATTTTTAGGACACATTATTTTATTTATTTAAATAATGTTTAGTCGCAAAATTTTATCGCCTATTTTATTTTCTTATCTCCAGAAACCAATGTAAATAAATATATAAAGAAAAGACGTAGATAAATTATTCAATAGAGAGTTTTTCTATTATTTTAAAACAAGCTAATGTACTGTAGTCTTCACAATATTAATTATTATATACAAGCTTTGTTATGTACTATATCGTGTATTTATGTATAGACGAGAGCATTTTTTAGACGGGCAGTGTTGAAAATTATTTAGCACAAAAAAGGAATTTAAAACTGTCGCGAAAGTCAATATGGGGTTTTTTCGGTTACATCTCTATATCTGTAATATAAAAATGATTCGCTAAATGTGTTGCTATGCGCAAATCTCGAGATTGAATGAACCGATTACGTTAATTCTTTTTTGGGTTTGTTATTGTTAGGAGATGGTTCTGTCGTGAGAAAAAAAAACAAAGATGCTCAGAATAATTTTCCATGGCGAAACAAATTCGCGGGGTCGGCAAGTATAATATATTTTTGTTTATATCGCGATATAGGTACTTTTCGATAAATGGCATTTCAACAAGTATCTACAATTTAAATAACATCTCTAATAGTAATTTTAACGTTTTATTTTCAAAAAAAGTGCAACCAAAGTTTTTCAAGATAAATGTTCAAATCTTATCAATTTGTTCAAAATTTTAAATATTTAATTTCTAAAATGTCTGCACCAGTCTAAAGGATGCTAAAATCATATCAATATAATATTATGTATAACAGATACGAATATGTGTAATATTTTATAAATATTAATAAAAACATAATTGTGTTGCAAGCAATAAAACATAGAGTATATATTATTTTGTACTTTTTATATTATATAGAGCGGACGTAATTGCAATACTCAATATTAATAATAATTATCCATTTTTGTTTTATTTATTTTTTGTTTAATTTTTTTCTTTTCTTTTTGTCCAACGCAGGTATGAATGCAAGTCGTTATGTGGTTGATTTTGTGCGAATCAGCAACGCTAGTGGAAATTTAGGTGATATTGCAATTTTGTCCAGGGAGACCGCGTTATACTATGTACGCCTATCGAGGTAACTACTGCTCAGTTAAACTAACAATAACAAATAAATAACAAGTTCAAACATATTGAATTAATTGAAAAAAGAAAACTGTTTTCCCGTACAATTACTAAGAACGTCGCCGCAACTCCGCACGCTGCTCAGGAATGAGAGTCCCGTTGTGATTCGAAACTAGTAGAAGCGTCTCTCAATAATTACACGTGAATAAATCGTTATTTTAAATTAATTCAATATGTTTTAATTAGTTAGTATTAAAACATACTCATTTATAGTCAGTTTGACTGTAAGATTATTTTTATGAGATTATAATATAAACTGTTAGATTAACTAAGCAGGTAGCAGTTAATACTTGTTGCGTGGTGACGGGAGTTGATGGATAATACATTTTTAATGCTTAGTAATGGAATGAAAATGTAATATTTTCATGCATCATACTATAAATTTTGTGGGTAAGTATTTTCATATACGTCCCAAAGTGTAGTAATAAGCACATCCTGTATATGGGACTTACAACAGAATTAGTGAAAAGTGTTAGTAAATATGTGTAATTCTGCTTACCCTCTTTATGAAGTAATTCATTATTAAGCAAATAGTTATACTCAATGTTAGTAGGCTCTCTATTAACGTAGAATGTAAAAAAATTGTTGTAACATTGATCAACTCCTGCGCAGCGCCGTGGTTAAGTATACTTATTACAGTGATATTTCTTTATTATTATTATTTAAGTGTGCACTGAGATGGTCGCACACAATTCTAGACATATTTTAAAATTCTAGATATATCTAGGTACTTGGAAATAAAACTATATGAATACCAATCCGTATTAGTATTATTACTAAATTGATTCTTAAGAAATAGTCTTTTCGATTTTTAGATCATAATAAAAGACATTTTGTTCATAAATCTTGTTTGTTTAATTATTAAAATCGAATAAATGTGTCATATCTAGAAATGTGTGCGAAATACTTAGTTTAATTAGTGATTTTACATGAACAAACAAACGGGCTGGGCCCTGAGATATTTGATGATTTATTCTTGCGTTAAGTACGCCGCGCCGTACGGCATGCTTAGTTAATTGCTCACAAAACTCAGTTCTTATACACTACAGTTAAACATCATCGTGTTTGCCAAGCTATTGTGTTGTTTATGCCTTTGTAATAAGGGCCACTTAGTTAAAAGTCTATCAACGTTTGGCAAACTCGATATATTTGACTTAAAGGCTGAATGGTTTAAAAATCTCGAATCTGTTAGGTGGAGGAAATGCTTAATTGCGTTTGTACAAATTCGTAGTTAAATGGGGGGAGGGGGGTAGCCATCACAATGTTAAATATACGTTGCGGCATTGGTTCTAAATATATTCATTATTTTTTATATTGAATTTAGTCAAATATTCGCTAAAGACTACTTTGAATTATGAATCATTAACTATTTATTTTACACTACAACAATTAAACTAATCAATTCATACTCTATTAGTTTTTTTTTATGAAAATGACGTTATTTATTGATGAATTAAATTATTTTTGAGTTGTATGTCAAAATGTTCGGTAGTTCATTTAGTTAAGTTGTATTCTAACTTTTCTATAATAAACTGTAAATTTATTTTGATTTTGAAAAGCGCCACCAACGCACGAAGGTTGGTTTTTGTATTAAAATTCAAATTTTTACAAGGATACAATGTTAAGCAATAATAAATATGAATTAATAAAATAGTATTTGTCTACAAAGCTTGGGAATAGTGTCGGCTAGAGTCGTAATAGTACGTGTTTATTGTTACAAACCAATTTCTAAGTGTTGGTCGCATATCTTGTAATACCTTCGTATTTTAATGAGAACATTCCAAATTAATTACATTGTGAATCTGAGTGCTAAATGCGATTTTTTTTTACGTTAACGTAAGCGCGTTTGGTGCTCTGATTGGCTCGTTGACTTTGAGCTGGCCAAACAGAGCACCAAATATCATAAACATGGCGATCGCGTTAACGTTTAACAAATTCGCGTTAGCACTCTGGTGAAGTCAGGAAACCACAAGTATCTGGCAATAAAATATAACTAAGCTCAAATCTCCTAATAAATTCTTTATAATATTGATCGATTCCCACCTTTAAATTAATGTAGCTTTAATATTATATCATAGTTTAGATCCTAAATTGATCCTGGTTTCCTGACTAGCCAAAACAACTTTAGAATTTAGTTAATCTCCCAGTATAGTGAACAAAACATTATTTCAATGTACATTGTAAATAGTTTTATTCAAAATTTGCTATGTTATATAGTGATATAACCAAAATTGTTGAATATTGATTTGTATGTTGGATAGGGAATGGTTTCAGTTATATGTAAGTATATAATAATATATGTTTATATAGATATGCAATGCCTTACAGAAGACACCAATATAATGTATGACAGTTCAAATCAACCGGAGTTGTATTTTTCTACCACTTGTTTTGGTGATTACTCCGTGTATGTATGTTAAAGTATGTAAAAGTATTAATTTTCGTTGCCGGCTATGGATTGAATTAAATCATCACAATTTTATTCAAAGATTTTGTTTTATTTATATTTGCTACTCCTTATACTATAACTCAGAGTCTCATCATAACTTAGAGTTTTCAACAAAATCCCTAGTAGAGCACTTTTATTATATTATAGTTTTTGATATTTCGCAAGAGCTTTTAATTTTTAATAGTGCGAAATTACCGTATTATAATTAGGGAGGCAGTTGCACTTTATGCCGTTATAAAAAATGCTTTTTTTTCATAAATATCTCGAAAACTTACGAGGTCTGAGCCAAAAAGGATCCAATTCTCGAACTCCCGCAGGCATCCACTCCCCCTTATAAAGACAATTTTTCTAATTGATAGTCAGTGTCGAAGTGACCTTGACCTTGACTTTTGCAAATGAGGTGACTTGTAAAACCTCTGAACTTAAGATTGAAGCTATCAGAATGCAGATCGTATAATGTTTAGGGCTGCGTTGAACTGCACGAGAAATCAATAAACGTAGCCCTTAAGTGCCTCTGTCAAAATCCACAGGGTAGTGAAAGTGTTGTTAGACATCATTTGTAAGTATATTAAAAGCGAAAATATCTCAAATACTAGACGTCTGAGGTAAAAATAGACCAAATATTCGAACGCCCCTGGTTGCCGGGGCTCCAGCTCGAATTGCAGGAGTAGGAACGGGGTGGTTTTTAGTCAGTAAGAGTCTGACACTCCCTCTCGCCTCACCCGGGCGGGAGAAGTCATCGGATAATTTTTCCCCATCAAAAAAAGGTGTCCACACTGATAAAGTATATTTTCTAATTGATAAACAGAGTGGGTGTGGCCTTAACCTTTGGAAGTGGGCCCATTTATAAAACCTCCGAACTCATCGAAACTTGGAATTTATATGATTTATGCAAGACTAAACTAGAAGATCAAATTACAATAGTTATCTTGAAAGGGATTTATGCTCTTAGGACTTGTTTTAACCTTTTGAGCGCCAGGGTCACAAATACGTGACAAGCGAAAACTGTCCCTGAGCGCCAACGACACAAATATGTGACAAAAACAGCGGTACATTAAAACACGAAATAAACTATTTAAACATTACTTTAATGCCTATTTATTTATATACCTGTAAAATAGAAGGTCCAAAATTTATTTATTTCCATAAAACTAATTAAATTGCATTATAAATATTGAGAAATTTTACGTTAAAAGGAAAGAAATAAACTCTGAAAAAAGAATGTCCTCACACGCCAGAGTCATAACTGCGTGACCGCTAGTGATGTAGCGCATGTTGGATAATATCATTATTTCAAATCAAAGATCGATTCGAAACTTTCCTCTGGAATATATTATTTTAGGTATAATTTGGTACTAGGATAAAGCAGCATTAATTTTATAAAACCAGTCTTAAAAATCATTCAATAAGCTACATAGTCAAAAATAAAATTTGGTTGGGTCGAATTTCGATATTCACTAATCCCAACTCAAGCGCATCCCTAACGCAACCCGAATTATCAGTACCCTGTACGCCATGGTCACGACTAGAAGACAATATCGTGACGTCACAAGCGCGGCGACCAGAAATTAGTGAAGTGAATGAATAATATTTATGATTAATTTACTTGTGATATCGAGTTCAAGATTTATATTAAGTGACTATTATAATGAGTGGGAATTTAATGACTACGGAAGAAGAGCGAGAGTATTTGACTCGAAGCTTTTATTCTAAGTGTGGGCTCCATATTTACCTATAGCTTCGTGGAATAAAGTCTGCCAAAAGTTCCTTTTTTAGCCACGGTGCGCGCTGAGATCGATTTCACTGTCTCCACCACCCACTTTGCACCCAGCGAATTAGATGATCAGAATGCAGGTTGCATTGTAGATTTTGTATAATTTTGTTCTATTATTCAAAAGATTTATTAGTATAAGACTGATTGGTAATTGTGATAATTATATATAATCGTTAATTGTTTTAATTTGTTACTTTTTATGCCAGGTTTATAGAACCTAATATTTAAAAATATGTAACAAGTACATACTGTATAACATTTTATTAAAATTTTCTATTTTTTCATAGTTTTTATTTACCTTCTTAACCTATTTCAATCATATATTTTTAAGTACCTGTTACATTCGGAATTATAAATCTGATTTAAAAAACGTGTTTCATTTATTATAAAATAATATTGTACTAGAACATCGATAAACGAGATATTACGTTGCCACATCCTTATTTCGGAAGCGAAGTAGTTATTAAAATGGCGGGCCGTCCACGCCATGGTCACAATATGAAGACAGCAGATCAAGAATAGTGTTGTACCTACAGTTATTATATTTAAATATATTGTAGTCTCATATCTGTTATTACGGTATTATACAAGTCTGTAAATAGTGTATAACTATTACTTTAATAGGAAGAAATGTAATGTTGAATTAAATTTCAATGTTATAAGGACATTATATTTCGAAATTAAAGACGAAAATGAAAATAAAATTGATTATCGATGAAGTTTTGGAATCCCTATTTTTTTCGTAGGTATTTGCGGTGAATTTGTGGCCTGGCGTTGAGGGCAAGTTCATGCGTTTTTGCTCTGGCGTTCAAAAGGTTAAAGGAGATCGTATCGGCTCCATACATTTTAGGGCCTTTTCTAAAAGTGCCGACACGAAAGGGCCGGCTCGACAGAAGTGGGCCTTTTGGGGATTAGGAATTTGAGGATTGCTGGGTGTTCAAAGATTGGGGAGGGGGGTAATCGAGCCTCCGGTAACCTCACTCACACGACGTTGCTTCACGTCGGTTTTCTATAAAGCCTTGTTGTCACCTTGGTCCAGCCGGCCCATTCGTGTCGAAGCTTGGCTTTTCCACAGTTACGATTTTGCACGGTATTAGGACATACGTTTACCGGTGTTTTTTTTAAGGGGGGAAAATCATCGAATGACTGCTCCCGCCTGGGTGAGGCGGAAGGGAGTGTCAGACTCTTACTGACTAAAAACCACCCCGTTCCTTCTCCTGCACGTCGAGCCGGAGCCCCGGTTACCGGTTAGCGTTAGGTTCTCCGCGACACGTTTACCGGTATAAGGTCATTAAGATGAAATCGTAACATTAAATAGTAATTGGAAGACCACAATTGTCGCAGGTCTAGGGTAGATCTCCATCATATAGGTACCGAGGCCCCGACACGGAGTAGGAGTTGGAACGAGGTGGTTTTTACTCAGTAACGGTCTGAAACTCCCTCCCATTTCTCCGGGACGAGCGGAACCATTTGAAGATATTTTTATTTTTCGATCTCTGACTGGATTTAAGTGTTACATTGTTCTCGCACAACCTAAAGAACACAACAAAATTGTATTGTGAACCTGATTGAAAAAGAGAACCTATGGAGTTTCTTGCTCGTTCTTCTTCATAGGAATCTACACCTTGGAATATGTGAATAGCTTCACTTTTGATTTTTTCTTGACGTTCAAAAGTGCCTTTCTGGTATAAATGAAATAAATGATTTTGACTTTGATATTCCTACAAAAAAAACTACAACGAAAACTTTTCGCAATATAATCACAATTGCCTAAGATAAGTGGGTACTTATTCTAGCAATATCTATCATTATTTTACGTTTCCTAGCACATTTAGAAAGAAATAAATGTTTGAAAAAGATGAATCTTTAAACTGGTATAACTTCTTCATCTTGGATCATACAACTTTTACGCCATATTAACTTTTGCTCCAAATGGCTAACTAACGATACATACCATTTCGTTGGCATGCACTTTCATAAATGGCCCAAAGAAATTCTCCTTTATATTTCGTAAATGCTGATGTCCTTGTAAATAATTCTGGCAGAGCTCATGATATTAATTATTTAACTATATAAGTACATCATATTTTGTCTATATTCAATAGAGGATGCCTTGTGGCTGAGATGATGCATACTGAGTGTACAGAAAAATGGGTAAGTAGAAAACCACATTATATTAAAAACTTTTAATAATAAAACAAACCAATATAAAAATATAATAAGAAAATAGTATAAATTAACCATTTGGTCTTAGCAAGTAATCTTAAATAATAATTCTGTCTATAATAAATATGATAGCAAATAAACTTGACTCGAGAAACACAATCTTGATAACTGTATTATTATCATTACAAATATCCTTTCAAGACAACACCATGTTGAATAAAATACATTAAATACAGTTTCTTGTTAACATAATAAAGGCGTCAGTTAAAGTAGTAGACATTTTGTGCATTGAACAAAAACATATAGTTGAAGGACGCAAACTCCTGACTGAAGGCTGCTGAAATTATACTTAAATATAAATCTTATTTTCTAACTTTCTATAAAAATACCGACTTCTTTAAGTAAAGTTGTTCTAGTTAAGACCTCAATACATACATTTCTTTAATAGAAATTCAATTGCATCTTCTTATAAATTAGGTTGCAATCTAGCAACGAGCTAAAGGATAGCTTAACGTACCACACAAATATCTTAATTAGGAATTCAACCTTATCTACTTACAAATAAAATTGCAAATCTAATAAAGAACAAAAGGGTAGCTTAACGTGCTTGGTTTTACATTTTATTGTTCATCAACAACTGAGGCACTTCTGGGCACAGCAGTCAGGTTTTCAGGTTTGGGTGGAGGCACCGGCTTCTCAGACAGTTGGCTAGGTCCCTCAGCTTCACCAGACGCTGGTGTTGGATCCTCGGATACTTCTGCGGACTCGACTATTTCTACCTCCGCGGCGTCTTCAGGATTGTAGTCTTGTTCCTCAACGCCGTACCTGAGGAATGTAATTTGTGATCTAAAAGTGACTTCCTGACATTTTTGTTCTATAAATTAAAGGGTCAGTAGCGGAATGATACATTCTCCAATATATTTATTTTTTTAGTTTGATTTCTTTTCTGCCTCGTTGGCCGAGTGGTCGCAATTGCAACTGCCGAGCAAAGGGTCTCGGGTTCGATTCCCGGCTCGGGCAAAAAATTACTGGGCTTTTCTGGGCAAAAAATATCAGTTACTACTGACACAAAAAGCCCGGTATTTTTTTTAAAACCGGGCATAATTTCAGACTCCGTGCAGTAGCACGCACGTGCGGCAGCGCGGAGTCAGTATATAGCAATAGGCTCACCCCCTATTACATGGGACTCGCAACATAAGTAGTGAAAAGTGAGTGTTACATTGTACAGTGGCATTATGTGCCGTAATGTACACCTCTGCCTACCCCTTCGGGGATAAAAGGCGTGATGTTTTGTTATGTGTGTGCTTTCTTAGCCGTGACTGTAGTAATATCATCAGTCGATAACAATTTCTACCGCACTCAGATATATTTGGAATAGTAGATTTTTAATAATAAGACCGCTAATGATTACTAAAGTCTTAAACTATTCCTTAGTAACGATGCTGTTCCGAAAACAATTGCTAAAGAATGGGTTAAGCAACCATTATGGCAAAGGACACACGGCGCGATTGACTCCCGCGCTTGCCGCAGTAGCAGGAGGCGGAATTTTCAAAACCCGCAGAGACCGCAGTTTTCTGCTATCCCGCAGCCGCGATTGCGATTATCGCCCGCAAACTTGGCGGTTGATTATCGCAAGACGGGCGGGCGGTTAAATAATCAGTTGAGTTCCAGACCAGCTGTCTCATTGTGATCGTCCGCCAACCTGATCGCAGAAAGCGCGTGGGTGCTTCGATTTTTTACATACATATATTTTACAAACGCTGGCCGGCAACCGCGGCAGGCGCGATAGAAAATCGCACCGTGAGTCCTTAACCTGAGTGTGACGGTTAATGTTATTGTACTTGTTCATTTATTTTTGTACTAAGTTTAAGACCCCTGCCAATACAAATAGCCAAATAACACGGGTCACCCCTCGCAATCCTAAACATGTCGATACAAGCTGTAACTGTACAAAGCTATATGATACAGCAACACGCAAAGTATCGGTCGCGCCGGTGAAATCTCCCGTGACACCCTCCTAGGAACGTTACGGCCCCAATTAGACTTAGGAAGTTTTTATAAAATTTAGAGTAGTCTGATCACAACAGACTGACAGAAGTTGAGCGAAAACTAGTGACTGTAGGACTCACGCTGAATAGTTCTGTCACTACAAATCTTTGTAAAATGACAGTTATGGCACGATATTTAAGAAAGACTTAAAATTGAGTATAGCCTTTCAGTATTCGGGCGCAAGTTACTCTCTGAATTTATGCTGATACTGTCATAATTAGTACATATTTCATACATACCCTTCATCCGTAGCTTCGTAGTTGACACCATTGCCTGATCGGGCAAATTGAGAAGGTTCCCTGTAAATTGTATTACTAATATTCTTATTTTGCCTAAAAATATATCACCCAAATTCATACATAGACAAAGCAATATGCGTATACAGTGTGGAAATCGTAATTGAGACAGTATTGAAAACATTTGTTTTTCTTTTTTGTTACTTTATGTGTATTAACCTGATGGCAAATAAATAAATCACCAACTTTTCACTTATTTCCAACTTTACAAGTGCCATCGATTTCAGTGGCATACACGCATTTGTATCAGGTATAATTCCAATATTATTCATTAGTTTCCACACCATATATAAGCGCCCAGTGCGTCCTAACAGCCAGGTCTCAGGTATTCATAAAGGGATAATTAATTAAACTTGCCTTCCGCTGCTAATTGCATAGATGCTGTGCTGCCAACCTTTGTTTGCCACATAAAACGAGGACAAGCACCCTTGATGAAGCATGTGATGAAGGGAAGGGGACAGTGGGAAATTAAAAATCTCAAATGTTTTACCAATTCCGTTTTATTTTTAGGCTTACACATGGTTGTATATTAACATTACTGATAGCTAGCAATCACTAAATACAGTGTAGTAATTATAGTTATTAATTTATTAGATACTTCGATTCCGTTACATGTTACAAATTAAAAAACTTCTATTTGATTTCAAAATAAAAATCTAAAAATTACGTAATCAATAAAATCTTGAATAAAGCCTTAAAACGACTAACAAAATAAAAATTTACAATAAAAAATATTATGTTTGTAAAATATCGTTGTATCCCTCGGGAATGTCTACTCTAATAAAACGCTACAAAAATATTTCACAGTATATAACTTAAATAACATAAGAAAAAATATACATTTACTAAAAACTAATAAATTGAGAACGAAATTAGTGTTAAAATGCCGATGAAGGGGAATGCAGGACATTTGAGGAATGTAACATGTAAAGCTACATATTATTATGAATATATTTCTGTAATGGCCTTTCGTATTAACATTATCACATAAACAATTCCACATACACAGTTATTGCCAATTCCCACACATAATAAGCGATCAAAATGTCTTATTCATTACGAACTCAACGGTAGACAAACAAACCAACACAGAGTTTAGGTACAATATAAAATAATACATTCTTATAAGAACGTCAACATAATTTTGGAAGCCTGACAAATAAATCATTCGATGCTTATTCTTCTAAAACATATTGTCGGTTGAATTAAGTACCCGACACCTCAAATACATTGCAACCGTAACTCCATACTACTAAAACTCAATACGATTCGTTGTAAAAATGTATAAAAACATCGACATATCGTGTAGATAATACTAATCATTCATAAGTACCATTTAAGCCGTTTAAATGATCGTGGTTTCAGTTATAATACGTCATTAAATATTACGTAATTGATTTCAATAGCAGACACTAGTCTTTTTATACTTAATAAGTTATACTTAACATAATGCTTAGGTCACGTACACATATTATTATTTATTTTGTTTTTAAACGTTCACGTGGACACTAAATATGTTTTTATTGCTAAATGTAATCTAGTTACGTCTCCCTGTATATTGAGGAAAACAAGCTTTGCGTGTATATATGTAAATAAACTATTATAGTATATGTTGACTGCCTGCATGATATAGATTTATATTTAGTGCCCACAATGATGCGCGCTCCCACCTAACCAGTTACACAAACTCGACCGTGTTATTAAATCAAAATGTTGTATAATTTGGAATGTTATGTTATGTTAAAAATCAGTCGATTGAATAAATGCTGTTCGCTTTGGTATAGCGATTATTCTTCAATGAAATATGGATTAATATTGTCGGGACAAAAAGTTAATATCCATACACCACAAAAGTGGTTATCCCAGACTTATTACAAAGAAAAAAACAATTGTACCAGTTGGTGGGCAGATAACATTAAAAATTACACGTACTTAGACAGTGTTAAAAACCGCCAATTCTTAGTGGGCCTCTTATACTTATTAGTCACAAATATTCCTTATTGAGATATACTTATATAAGACTTGTATGAAAAAGCGTCTTGGTTTGACGCGGAGTGACTTTACAACAAGCACTGTGCCGAAACTTTGGAACTTTTCAATTCGGAGGTTCCTATAACCGTTAGGCTTAATGTCCACGTAAACCACACACATTGACCATTGCAAGACGAACGCATTACACCTGGCTTAGAAAAGATCGTCTAGTATTATAATTATCGTGAGACATACTAAATTATTTATAATGTTTACCAGCTTACTCCACTCACTGTTTGACGAGGAAATCAATTAGTTTCAAGCCACGCTAGGGGTTCATATTCATGAACAGCATCGCGCAACGCGGCAAACGTCGAATTCCTTGTCAAACACTTACGTGAATAATTCCAAAAAACGTAATAGTTAATCAAAACTTTACGACAAACGCTACTCGCCATACAAATGTGTTTATCGTCATTTGTAGATTGCATGTAGGTATTCGTCGTGGACATTAGGCCTTATTCTCTGTAACCATGACGCCCATAAACCAGACACGAATATGACACAGACAAATATGAACCCTCAATAGACCTGGTAGAATCGACATTGGCATGTCGATGTGACCAGACGACACAGTACCAAGCTTACATCACAAACTATTTAATAACCGTGTACAGTTAGACATTGGATACGTTGAGTTTAATTTCAAGACTCGAGATTTATTACAAGACGTTTTTTATTAAAGATAAATTGTAAATCTTTTAAGAAGAGAAGGTAAGACAATGTAATAAACATGTCACTTAGAAAAATCTGCTTTTCCGTTTGAGTATATTTCATCGACAAGAATCAAAGTTAAAGTATAGATAATTTTTTAATGAAATTCCAAACTTTAGTATGGTAGATTAGATTAGAAATTTTTTCTATGAAATTGCCGTTTTTCGACATCAAAATGATCAATTTCATAGTTAAAAATATAGGTTTAAATCCAATGTCTGACTGTGTACAGTACTTGCGTGTATCCTTACGCGTTGGCGACGGGCGCGTCCATGGCAGGAATATAGTCGAGCGCCATAAGACACGCGAACACTGTCATGATCATCTTGGGTTTCCTCTCCGTGATGTCCTCCGGTAGCGCGTACACGCGCGCTCCACAACGACGCGCCATTGAAATCGCGTATTTCGCGTTGGCTAGGTTCTCCTATGAACAAGGAAAGCAGTTTGTAGAATTTTGTTATTGTATATCTTCGGGACTACTTCATACATAACATCACGCCTTTTATTCCCGAAGGAGTATGCGGAGGTGCACATAACAGCATTTTATGCCACTGTACAACGTAACACTCACTTTTCACTATTTATATTATGAGTCCCATGTAATAGGGGGTGAACCTATTGCCAACCGGGCACAATTCCAGACTCCGTGCTACTACTGAGAATTTTTATAAAAAACCCAGTAATAAATACATTGCCCGACCCGGGAATCGAACCCGAGACGCCATGCTAGGCAGTCGCACTTGCGACCACTCGGCCAACGAAGCAGCCACTACTTCAAATTATATAATTCTATTTGTGTTGGATCTAGCTGTAAAATAAGGCTACAAACAAATGGCGCCGAGCAGCAGGTGAAATAGCGCGAGAGTAACTAATATCAAAAATAAAATGTGTATTACCTCCTCATTGCCTCCAGGCAGCACGAGGTCGTAGTTGATGGAGCCTGGCTTGATGGCGTCGATCAGGTCGATCACCACCTTACCGTCAGCCAACACCTCATCCTGGAAGGTAAAGGTAAGGTTTCTTAGCTTTTATCACATAGAGATAAACATTTTAGCGACGTATTTGTAGATCATTAAATTAGGAGTTCATATATTATAATTGTTTCATGATAAATTTCATTAAATAACTAGCTTTTACCCGCGGCTTCGCTCGCGTCACAAAATGATAAAAAGCCAATGTGACATATACCAATGCACGCAGCGCCATCTATACCAATACTTTTGTTTTTCCTCGGGAATATCAATTTTTTCGCGGATAAAAAGTACGTATTATTTAATCCGGACTTCTAACTATACATCTGCAAAAAATCAAAGCAATCGGTTTAGTAGAAGGCGTTAAAGTGGAACAAACAAACAAACAAACTCACTTTCCGATTTATAATATACTAGCGACCCGCCCCGGCTTCGCACGGGTGCAATATGTATATACATACAAACCTTCCTTAAGAATCACTCTATCTATTAAAAAAAACCGCATCAAAATCCGTTGCGTAGTTTTAAAGATCTAAGCATACATACGGACATACAGCGAAAGCGACTTTGTTTTATACTATGTATTGAAGTAAGGATTAAAAGAATCTCCGAAACTGAATCCAATTATTTTCGGTATTCATATAACACAAGGAAATTAAGTACAAGATAGTTCTAAGTCTTGAATACCTATATCGATGAAAATGAAAATATAGGACATAAGTGGTGTTCATACTTGGAAGCTCCTAATAGAAGAAGTTTTGCCAGCGCCAGCGAGTTTGTTGTTGACCCACTGCACGATCTCCTTCTCAATGATGGGGTTCCCGGTGTTGGCCAGCCGGGTCAGTACCGACAGCGTGTACGCACGCATCAACTGCCAGATCAGGGCTGCAATAACATACGAGATAAAGTTAGATAGGTATAGTAAAGATATGTTTAATCGTTGGTACTTAGTCGAGTTTGGTTGGTGAATTTCATTATGAATATATCATGTAGAAGTTAATTGTCACTTTCCAAAAACATTACATTAAGTTCGCCATTTGAGCGTAAAGTTGTTGTATATAAAAATGAAATAAAAAAATTACAAACGTATTATTAATTTATTCATTATCCATCGATTATTTCCAAATCAGCCGGTTGGAAATATCTATCCGTTCCGCATCCGTTGTTTTCATTATCTTTAAATTTAATTTAATTAAAACTATAACTAAAGTAAATCTAAGATCAAAGATTCCTTAAAAAAAAGTGTTATTCTATCGAGGAAATTTTACGGTTTTTGATTTATATTCATAAAAAAAACATTATCTTGCTTCCTTGAAAAATATATAGTAAGTATTTACCGAGTGTAAGCGTAGCATTTCCCTCGTTAATATCAGCCCCTGCGATGCCGACGAGTGAGAACCCGAGCTGCCTGCCGAGCTCCACGGCGTAGTTGCAGTTCTCCAGCCGCTCCATGAACTTACGCAGCTTCGAGAACTGACGGTGCACCTGGAAATGTAAAAATGAATGTTTATAACTGTTCCTTGTAAATTAATAAAAATACTTTCCACGTAATAGTTGGTGATTTGTTGGGGGAACGGGTAATATTAGATCATTGACAAAATTCAATATTATATTAATAACTCTCTATTATGTATGTAAATTATTATAATCGAATTGAAAGGCCCACATTACAATACAAGGATTTAAGTTTATGTCTAACCACGCATTCTATTACAATAGTAACAAAGATTTAACTCGCTATAATTAAATAAATTTTTGGGTGCAATATAATTATAACAAAATGTTCAAGAACTCTGTAGAACTTAGCATGCTCCTAAAGACAACAAGCGATGTAAAAAAAAGCGCTAATAAACAAAGATTAATACCTTCTTCCAGTTAACAATGCCAGGTTTGATGATGTCGTAGAGCTGGAAGATGACCAGGCCGTCAGTCAGGTCGGAGTACAACCAGTTCACGTGCGGCGCCACACCCATAGAGTTCATCCAGTTACGGTAAGCTATGAACAAACACAAATACGTTATTTACTATAGTTTAGCAAACCTATGCCGACTGACTGCCGGTATAATTATGAGACACAATACAAAATGCGTAGATCTATGTACCGGAGACCACGGACTAAATATCGAATTACTGATACTCCATATTCTAACCACGTGATATACGTTTTTATCGACAAACTACGAAAAGAAATAATTTCATACAATTTGAAATCAAAATGCAAAGCAATTTATATGAAGCTTTGTTTATGGCTTCATTTCCTAAACAAATATTGATCAGTAAGCTAAGCTTTTTTTATGGCATAAGCCGGTAAACGAGCAGACGGATCACCTGATGGTAAGCAATCGGCGTCGCCCATGAACACCTAGTACACCAGAGGCGTTACAAGTGCGTTACCGGCCTTTTGGGGATTAGGAGTTTGAGGATAGTTGGGGATTCAGGGATTGGGGAGATTGGGGAGGTCCAATAACCTCACTCACACGACGAAACACAACGGAAGCGTTGCTTCATGTTGGTTTTCTTTGAGGCCGTGGTATCACTCCGGTCGAGCCGGCCCATTCGTGCTGAAGCATGGCTCTCCCACACTTAAAAGCTCCTTCAATTGTAAATCTTTATGGGGCTTAATAGGAGTTAGCCTATTGCTAAATCTAAATCAGCCACAACTGTCCATGCTTATTAAGGTATATTAAAATCAGAATACCTAAATACATTTTTTTAGTCAAGGCTTGAAATATTTAAATTTTAATGAAACAAAAAATATAATTACGTATTCATAAATTAATTACTCTCACTGTCAAAATATCTGACGCATGCAAATTACTCTTGGTTTTACGTTACGGTTAGTTAATTTTACACTAAACTGTGTTTTTATGTAAATTAAATCTTCTGTTAAAATCTGAAGTCTATGAAATACTCGCGTTATTTGTAAATTTTTAAGACCATTGAAATACAATTTCAAAATTCATAATTATTGTTTCAACAATTGCACTGAAAATCTAGATTTCTCATTGTGTTTCTCATGTTTCTCAATTATTACACGTTACACATTCAGGATTCATACGTAAACAAATCACTTTTGTTTCTTGGCGTAGTTTCTTTTAATTTTGCCTCCACACTAAGCTGTATTCCTCAGATGACCCCACACCCAGATACAAAGCAATCAATTGTGAATTACATATAGAATTGTTCTTTGCTGGAAACCTGCCCCACGTTTATACAGCAGACAGTTCTCCAGTTACTACTTTTATAATGCAGTTTTATTTCTTGTCGTCATTTCGTTAAACCACCAAATAACTACAATAACATTTAGAAACATTTAACAAAATCCACTCACTCTTCTCCTCCCTGGTCTCGTCAAGTTGGTGCAGTTCCTCAGTGTCAGCAGAGCGCTGTAGTCCAGGATGTTGGTTGAACAAGTTGGCCACGAACGCCAAGTTCAGTTTGTACACTCCGCCCACTACGTCTGCTGGAGTCACGAACGCGCGACATCTGAGCTTCGCGGCTTGTTGCAACATGAGTTCAGCACGACGGAGTAAGTCGGTTTCCTGAGGAGATAATGAAGAAAACTTTAAAATTTGTTGTAACCGACTTCAAAAAAAGGAGGACGTACTATGTTCGGCTGATTGTTTTTTTTTTGTTTTAATTTATTTGAAAGTATATTCCAAGATAAGAATATGAGAATGAGATCTGTATGTGATGTAGAATTGTGTGACTAGATTTTATGTAAAAATTGTTAGAGATTTTACTTTAGGTTTAGAGACAACTTGCTCACTAGGGCCAATCAACGGACGCCAAGTAGCTATTGGAGAAACAAAAAATTACTACTCTATTATTTAACTACCATTTTTAACATAGGTCTATTTGTGAAATTAAATTTGACACAAAAATAACTGACAGAACCTTAGGTGCATAACTGCGTATGTTTTATATTACACACGGTTGCCAAAGAAGAAAAAAAATAAAATATTACACACTTTTTTTGCTGCTGGATTTGACACCCCCTAGTAACGATAATTCTGTAAACATTCTAGTGTACTTCTCAACTCACCCTCAAAGCATCCAGTGTCACTCCAGAATCATCAGGAGCGATCTGTTTGAGCAGATGCGAGTAGATCTCAGAGTCAGCCACGTCCTGCTGGAAGTTGGTGCAGCGGCGGGTGACGCCGGCGCTCTGTAGCTGGTGGTTCACCCATCGGAGGAGGATCGCTTCTGGTGATAACGCCAACAGGTCTTCGATGCGTTCCTAGAAATAAGAAGATAAATAATATAGCAGAAAGTTTATTAAAGTTAACAAAATTTACCAAAGACTTGTTTAGAAGTGTATATTTATTATATCTAATTTTTAATTTACATTAATGACCTTCCAAAACATCTTAGTCACCCAACTATACTGTTTGCTGATGATAGCACGATAATTATTAAGTCAGATAAATCTTACAATTATGAACAAGAAGTAAACAATATTCTAAAACAGACAATAACGTGGTTAGAATCTAATAATTTACATATAAATCTAGGAAAAACATATTTAATGCATTTCTATCAGCGTCAATTACCACCACAACTAAATATTAATTACAATGGCTCGACGATTACAGAAGTGAATACTACCAGATTCTTGGGTTTAGTGATCGATAGCAATTTAACTTGGAAACCGCATATCGAATCGGTGTGTAAGAAAATAAACAGTTTTGCATATGCTCTTATAAATTATCACGTTCAGCTAACCAGGAGACAGTGATCACCGCTTATCATAGTTACGTGGAATCTATACTGAGGTATGGGCTGATTTTTTGGGGTAACTCCACGATAAAATGACATATTCATAGCACAAAAAAGATGTGTACGCGCTATACGTGGCCTACGTCTAGGGACAGTTGTAAGCCACACTTTCAAGACTTAAAACTGTTAACGTTTCCATGTTTATTTATTTACGAAGTAGCCACCTTTGTTAAATGTAACAGATGTCTATTTGAATTAAAGCCCTCACGCGATTCCAGGCTGAGGCAAAAGGATACTGGTGACCTTCAAGTAGTACACGGTAATACAGCGCTTTTTAGTAAGAGTATTTTCAGGGTTGCTGCACAAATATATAATAGATTACCTAAGGAAATCAGAGCACTAGACTTACCTCTTTTCAAAAAAAACTAAGGCAGTTTTTGATAACTAAATGTTATTATAATTTAACCGAATTTATGACTGATGACAGAGGAAATTTATAATGTTAACAATGAAGATTTTTATTGTTTCCTTAAGTTAATGTAATTATTTAGTTACTTAAATGTTATTATAGTTTAATTGAGTATACGGCTGATAGAGTAAATTTTCAACACAAATAATAGTTTTATTAAAACTTGATGTTAATATTAATTTAGTTTGTAATTAGGTGTATTATGTTCCATAATGTAGACAGAGAAGATTATTGTCTGTAAACACACTAGATTAAGAACATACTATAAAAATTTTGTATGTCTGTACAGACACAATGTGGCGCACTACCATAATATTATCTACCATCTATTGTAACATACCTACATTGACGAAATAAACAATATTTGTATTTGTATTTGTATTTGTATCACATAACATAACATCACGCCTTTTGTCCTCGAAGGGGTAGGCAGAGGTGCACATTATACCACTATACAATGTAACACCCACTTTTCACTATTTATGTTATGAGCCCCATGTAATAGAGGGTGTGTGTGTGAAGAAGGAAAGAAATCCTTTTGACAATTTTTTGGGTCACTGCTATTCATAGACGTTTTTAACATTGAAAGACCCCAAAATAGTTATACTGAACTCGAAGAAGAAACTGGAGTCTTCGTATTCATACTAGCAATCACTCTACAATTTATAAACCACATGATCTAGGAAGATTCAGTTTTTATGAGGTGACTATTGGTCTTTTCCCATCAAGTGAATAGAGAGCACTTTTCAATAGGCTGTATTTAACATACCTGGTCATTGAGCAGCTCGGTGAGACCGGGGCAGTGTTCCAATGTGATCTGGTTGAACAAACCGATACGGATGATCTGCCACAGCAGACCCAACACCAAGTGAGGCTTGCCTGCAAATTGTAATACATTTGTTTAGAGAAACATTCTATTGAGAGAAAACATATTAACCCGTTGAAATTCATCCCCTAAATTTGTTCATACAAAAATAGTCTCTAAGCATTGGAAATAAGGTGGAGAGCGGTCACCGGTGACCGCTTGGGGATAATAGTGTCAGCAAAGGTTTGTTTGCAATGTAATAGAGTAAAAAATTAAAACATTAATTCAAGAACAAGATTTATAAGTCAACTTATGATATGACTTTATGTTATAAGTATCTTTTCATGACATTCAATAAGGTGAAAAATACTAATTTGACTTATGCAAAGTTGTGCAAATATTGTAATCAAGATGGAAACTAATAGACAGTCGATTCTAAGTCGTTTTCATCCAGCTGACTTAGAAGTTACTGAGAGAAGCCTATGTTATTATGGACGTCTTATGGCTTATAATAACTTGACGACAATGAAAGTGAGTGTAGGTAAATAAATCAATTATGTTCTTAATTACCTTTAGCCAAATCATGGGCATCGATATTGACAATATTGCACCCAATGGCCTGTGAGGAGACGAGGGCCAGCGTGAGGTTCTCGTGCTTCGTGTATAGAGTCAGGTTCTTCTTGTTGATGGCACGCTCGTCTATCGTGTCGGGGCACGAGTGGTTTATCACTTTACTGGAATTCAAACAGGTAAGGTTAGTGGGTAAATTTTAATAAACTAATATAAATTCAAATATCTGTATTGCTGAACACAGTACATTTAGATGCATTGCAAGATGTTAGATGCTCACCACGTTTCACCAATCAAGACATGCAATTATTATACACTAGCGACCCGCCCCGGCTTCCCACGTGTGCAATATGCATGTGTTATACATATAAACCTTACTTTAGAAACACTCTATCTATTAGAGAAAACCACATGAAAATCCGTAGCGTAGTTTTAAAGATCGAAGCATACATAGGGACAGACAGACGGCGGATAGCGACTTTATTTTATACTATGTAGTGATTATAATCGGCGAGTTCTAGATTATAGCAATTTTATTAATTATCAATTTGGTCAACATAGTTATAATAAAATAAAGCAATTTACGAAGAGAAAATTCAAATAACAGAATTCAAGTATCGAAACTTGGCTGTCATTTTCGCAGTTATTCACCCAAATCTAAATCTTTTTAACTTCATAGGGACCTGGAGGTAGTCTACTTAGAGGTTCATGCTCAGTGTCCCTTATTGGTGCTGATGGCGGCCATGGAATGGGTATATATTAGTAAGGTAAGGATCCCACAATCCGTCACCAAAATGCAAGGTGTCTTTTAAGATAACATTTTCTCCCGTCATCAAAAAGGTATTTTAAATTAAAACCATTGCAAAAGACCATACAGGTTTACTCACCATAAAATAAGACCGTCTTTGAGCTTCTCATACAACTGTTTCCCTTCATGGTCTATGGGCAGCAGGTGCTTCAGGTCTGGGTCATGTTCCAGGTTGCTGTTTATCCAACCAGAGAACGCCATCTGCTCCTCCAGTCGAACCGAGTGAGTTGTGCCTGAAAGTGGAAATTTTGGTTTTAATTTAGGTGCAATAAGGTTTAAATTTTGAAACTCACACAGACTCAAATGTTTCATTTTTCTTTTTAGATATTTTAATGAAACTTGGTATTTTTACTCGACTGTTTTTTAGTAATGAAGTTGTAGAAGTAATAATTTGTAAGTCTAAGATTCTAGAGTGTAAGTAATTGTACTGACCATCGCTGGAGGCTTCGCTCATGCCGCCCAAGTGTTCCAGGTTCTCTTTTTTACTGACAGCCTGTTTGAACGTGCTGGATACCTGGGAATATAATACATATTCGTTATATACTTGGTACATAAGGGAATAACTAGTACAATGTAGTTGTTTACATCATTTTATTATCTAATAGGTTTAAGATGTTAACTGTATTTAAATATAAATTTAATAAGTTACAATTACTCAAAACGGACTATCCTTCAGACCAAAAATGATAACCTCTTCTTCGCCACCTAATTTCAACAAAATCAACGAGTAAATCAAGTAAGCCCATGTTAAAAACAGAACAAAATTAGCGTATCTAGGTTCTAATGTCTAGACTTAGACAGTTGACACAGCCCACCTTCCCGTCTCAACATAACTGTTCCATCATAACACATTCATACATTAAACTACAATACTCAGTCATTACAATTGTATGTAGTAAAAAATTATAAAAAAAACAGCGCTAAAGACCAATGACCTGGCCTTAAACAACTGCGTTTGCGTCTCTGATTATTACAGGCAGATAGTAAGTACATACATATAAAACACATCGACCTATACAAACTAGTTATCTTGGTCTCGTTTTGTATCATCTTTCTGTATATTCGACGATCAATTTATATTGGTTTTGCATAGCTTGATAAGTAACTATGCATACATACATACAATTATAAGTAAGGTTATGAATCGATTGAAAAACTAATATTCAAATTAGGTATGGAACAAGAGAGTCGGTTTTTACATGTTAACTTATGTATTGTATGATTGGGGGATGGGTATGGTTAAAGTTCAAATTGTGATGTGTTGTTAATGATCAAAATCAAAAGTTCCATGTATTTGTTTGCTAACAAAAAAGTATACAGCCAAACATTAAAAATTCTACATGTTCTTGGGTAAGGAAGAGCAATAACAGTTTGAAATAGTTAAACTTTTTTATTTTTCAATCTAAATAATAAATAACTAGGACTAATATAGGTATAAATAAAAATTAAAGTATTTACAACTAAAATGAATATAAGAAAATAGGATATGGGAAAAGAATCAATTATGTATGTATGTGGCGTTGTGGAATGCACACATGTGCCTAGCTCTTTGACGATTAAAAGGAGTGATGTTCTGTGACTTTCTCTGTGTTGTTATTTCTGTGTGTTGTATGTTTATTATTAACCATACTTGACCTCCTTTTATATTTTGACTTATTTCCCTGCCCTAATTTCTATATACAACAAACACTCAATACCGTAACAATGTCAATATTTCTACAATCAAACTACATAGGGACTATGAACTGGTAACCCTGCACTGGGCGTCATCTATTTGACCCTGTGACCGCAATGATTAGCGTTTATCATTTTATTGACATCTCGGAGTTAATCTGTTCACATAAACAACGGACGGCCCGACAAATGGGTACTTATTACGCTAATAAGAATAACATTGATTGGTTTAATCGGCTGTCTCGGGTTAAATTGTGTTGTTTTAGTGACTTGACAGGGACGAGTTTAGGGTTTCAGATACTTTTCTCCGAGTTTGAAATAGGTTTATTGGGATTCTGTATAATAATAATAACTATAGCAAGAGTCATAATTATAAACCCTGATACAGCTGGAAACTTGTTGATGATCCTCGGTATTGGTAGTATCGGTTGGTGCGGTGGCTGGGTAACCGACTACAGGGCAATGTGCGGGTTCGATTCTCGCACGGAACAACACTTTGTGTAATCCTCAAATTGTTGTTATACATGCACATGACATCCAGATCCGAAACGACAATCTGTGGATCACACAAAGAGTTGCTCCGTGCGGGAATCGAACTTGCGACACGATACCCAGCCACCGCACCAAACGTGCAGTCTTAAATTCACTATGTTGCCATAAATATACTGAGACTACTCCTAAAAACACACATGACTTACATAGTCATGTAAGTTTATATACACAGTTCCATTATCAAAGAACTTTACCGATCAAGGTTCCGAACTCATCTTGTTGGCTTTTTTCAAGATTCAACAATTCAGATAATACAGTTTAGTGTGATGTCCTGCCGGAACAAATATTGGATTTGTTTGTTCCTTTTACGCGATACGACCCTCAATATCTACAATTTGGAAACCTTACAAATGTCTTAAAAGTTTAAACAAGTCTAGAAAGGACATTTAATTTTCGACAATTTTTATTCTTTTGACAAGAGAAGCTACAGACTCTAGTATGAATTTTTTCGTTCAGAATTTTATTGCAACTGCAAAAAATAGACATATTGCAACTTAAGGCTACTGTCCACGTTACGTTATTTGCGGCTCAAAACAACAGGCGGATTTAAGGCGTTGCTTATTAGACAGTTGTCATTTGTAGGCCGCCATGATGCCTTCGTCAAATGACACAACGTAGACAGTATGCTTTAACTGATTAGTGAAGCTCCTACAGATGTAGACAAACAATACTGACCTGTTGTGCCTTAAGGTTAGCGCAGAGCTCCTCGAACTCGGTGAGGCTGATGGCGTTCTTCCTGGCGTCTCCATTCATGCTGCCGTTCACTCCACGCTTGTTGCCATTGTCGTAGTACTCCTCGATCATACACCGGACCTGGGGATGAGATTTGAGGAATCAATTAGTAGCACGGAGTCTGGAAAAATGTGCCCGGTATATGGCAATAGGCTCACCCCCTATTACATGGGACTCATAACATAGGTAGTGAAAAGTGGGTGTTACATTGTACAGTGGCATTAAGTGCCGAAATGTGCACCTCTGCCTACCCCTTCGGGGATAAAAAGGCGTGATGTTATGTTATGTATGTTATGTTATGTTTATTTTAGTTTCATATTCTATTGCAGCGTTTTCTTTTCCTCTAATTAATCTATTGCTAATTTATTAATGTAAATTAAGCAACTTAATTTGATTTTTAACCAACAGCTTATATTCTAATTTTGCATCCAATTATTGATATTTTTTTTCTTAAAGAATGCGGTGCTCGCCTGTAATCGATTGTAACATTTTACTGTTATCTTATTTACCTCTAAATGTTTGTTGTTTAATGTAATAATGTATGTGTTGTTGGTGGGTCAATAAAGATAAATAAATAAAAAAAAGATTTGAAGGTTAGTAAATGGACACCTGGAGCACCTAACTCAAAAGACAAGTCTGGTTTAGGTAAAAAGTATTAAAGCAGTATTATTGGCTATTATCAAATACTTTGGTTACTTATTGCCTAAGTGCTTTAATATAATTTTCTCTCAGCTAATTAAGAGGAAAACATATTGACGAAGTTTATGAAAAACTTCATTTTTATTGAATGTCACTTGTAATTATCGTTTGAATTATCGTCATGTATATGTTTATGACTACATAGACAACAAGACTAGAAAGAAATAATGTGATATAGTTGTATACAGCATAACAGCTACGTGGGAGCACCATTAATCTTTGACATATAAATCTGTTGTTTTTACTCCCCCATCTCTCCGTTATATAGAAGTAAAAATTAATGCATAGGAACCGACGTAATTAGCCATTCTATTGACAGTCTAGTTGTTTTATTAAAATACGACATCAAACTTCTGCCTGCCTTTATTTAAGACAAGTTGCTTGGTGTTGGCAATAAGGTTTCTTTTTCCGTGTTCCAGGAGATTAATATATACTTTTTAAGATATGTCTGTAATCGTATATTTGTTGTCCTTAATAATAGTTGTATAGAGCGAAGATCCATGCACATGTCAGGTGATCGAACCCTTGAAATTTTATTCCTTTAAAGTTTCTGAGTAGCTATTCATTTGAAACGACTATATTTATAGAAATTTATTTACCTTCCATTGTGGAATTTTGTATCCGACGCTGTCAAGTGCTTCTTTCAATTCTTTCAGATCGATGTAACCACTGCTGTTTGTGTCCAACTGAAACAAGAAAATAATAAAATCAATTATTTTGATACGTAAAAAAAAATACTCAGATACCATGTACAATATTCAATGAAGAATGATAAACACATTATGTATCCTAAAAAATGTGTTAGGTAAGTACATGTGTTTATTCTAATCTTAACTTTACTTTCGTTCTCAAGTTCATCTTACTATTAATTACACTACACTTAAACATAATTTTAACTTAACGAAGTGTAAAACTTATTACAACTTTACACTGTCGGCCAAAAAAATGTGAACATCTTTACGAATTTGTGAGTACATGGGGAGGAAAGTTTTAGGGTTGTCTCACGTAGATAAAAGGTATGGTTTTCTAGTTACGTCTGATTAAAAAATATGGTGGCAGAATGCTAGCGAATTGGAACGTTGAATTTGTGACGAATTTAGTTGATCTCATATCTATTACTGATTATATTAATTAATAAAAACGCCTGATTCACGGATTCTATGTTATGACCAAAAAAATATCGATGAATGTGATAAACATGTAGGTAAAACCAAAAATTCATAATAGTTAAGCATAGTTAGTATGTCCTTGGGCAACTATCAAACACTATAATATGAAATAACAATTTTATAAAAAAAATACCATATGGCAACAAACTTTTTACAAAACCAACCTTCGGTTCCGAAGCATTAAAGCAAGGATTAACCTCGTCAAACCTTTTTGCGTTTATTCAAGTACATAGTTAAAGTATTTATGGTAATGGAGACTCATTGCATACATTTACCATCACAGAACTGGAATAAACAACATAAATGATGTTTGTTTATACTGAGAATTCCGTCAAACGTATGATTGGATTTACGATAATGACGTAATCATCACCTCCGGTAAAGATCTCATATCATAGATTGAGTGATAAGAAATAAGCAATGACTAATCTTTGGATATACGTCGTATAGACAGAAGAATTCAGGATGAACCTTGTTTTGTTCTTATTGAAATGCAACGAATTTTTTAGAAGTATTTCTAACTCGACATAGAACTAAGACACTAAAAATGTTATACCCATCTCAAACTATATTTTGCCCAATCCGAACAGCTTGAAAGCATCATTTGCGACTTAGAACAATTTGCGTACATGTAGAACGTAATTTCCTATAGTATAACATACCATTACTCGTAGACTAACTAAAGGAACAGACGAACAAACAATTGAATGTTTATTTAACAGTATTGTAGTACATTACTGATTGCTCACCAGTGATATAACTGTCGTGATGTAAAGATTATAAGATGTGGTCATAGTTTCGTAAAACGATAGCTTGATAAGAGGATTAGACAGAGATAAAAATGCGTCTGAGGATTATAAGTGAGCCCATGTTGCACGATTTTTGGATAAGAGTCAAAATTTATAATATTGAAATACCAGTCTACCATTTTTTTAAATGTAAAAGGACGTTGTGAACGTCTGTTTTATTGTACTGATATTTATTCAGCGATATTTTTAGGCACCAGTATATACCCTGAGAATCCCTAACATAAAATATTTCTAACTACTTCTTGGTTTTCCTAGGTAACTATCCTTCAGAACACGAAATAATTTTCTTATGAAAGTCACATCACTATGTACTGAATTACTTTTAATTATTATCTTACAAGTAGTTGTTGATGTCACAACATCAAATGCGTGAGTAACGTCCGTCGTCCATTGTACTAATTTCGTCTCAATGTTTGTTATTTCTTATTCCGTAAACATCTCCCTTTCGAATACATGTAAAAATGTTTACAATAGGACATTCTAGTGAATGTATTGTTATGGATTTACTTCCTACAATTATATCGCTGGTGGTTGTAATCAATACGCTTTATTGCAACGCCGGAGCCATGTGTAAGACCTAACGTAGGTAGCATAATTACTTTCAGACGATGTAGACGTAATGCGCACTTGCAAATAACATTTATTTATTGTCGTTATGTTAACACGGCTTTACACCTATTACATTAACACACAAAAAAGAGAAATTAAAAGGAATCAAACCAATCAAAAAAGCACATAAATAAACATCACATTAAAAAAGAAAAAAATCAAACAGTTACAATAGTAGAAGACTAACTTAAATGTCCCTACATCCCAATAAAATAACATATAACCGTCGAATTATTAAACGAAAAGCCCTTACAATTCAGAAGTTTATAGATAGCAGAACGAAGATCTAAAATTCAACAATGGCTTTTATTGACAGACTAATAAGTTATCATTGAAATATTTCACAAAATACTTACAATACACAGTAATGCAAGAACAAATGCAATATTTACCTGTTTCCGTGTTACATCATAGTTTTTGTATAGCATAATTAGTAACGGTAAGTTTTAATAGCGTGCTTCAAATAAATAATGTTAATGTGCACGCTCTGTTTCCGACCAAATGTGAGGCAAGGTCAGAGCCACTGTTGAAGACAGCTCGTATGGCCGTTGGAGTACTAGACATGTTTATTACTGTAGGAGATGCTTTTATTTATTATTTATGGGGTTTGGGAAATAGATAACTGTACTCAAATACATAATATTACGTTGTTTATCATCAAAAGGGATTTGTGATGGCTATCACATTAACAGCAGCCATTTTTCGTTAGTTTTGTTATGAATCCTGTGTACTACGGCCTATGTGACTGGAAACCCCATCGATTGTTAAATGTAGTAACTAGGTATAGCACATAGCAACAAACTAAAAGGAAAAACACAGGATAACGTACATAATAAGAATAAATACCTAGTTAAATGTTTTTCATAACAAAGCATAAAACAAAATAGTTAAAGTATATTTAATATTTAATGCCTGTAATACTTTTACCCGTATAATAAAACGAGCAAATCAATTTACTCAACTGATTAGTAACAAACAATTTTACTGCTTATCAATATTTTACTGCAAGCCTATCAACCAATTCGTGATAAGTACAAACGTCATAATGACCCTAATAAATTAATTTGACGGCTATCGTTCGTAAAAAAATGTTTAAACAATAAAATTTAACAGTTGATTAATTTAATTGTTGATGTCGATAACCCTGGGCGCTTAATTGAAAGTTGACCCGCGGAGTGTCCCATTTATTTTGGTCGGATGTGTAGTTTGACACAGTTTATCAAGTTTTTCTATTCAATGGCCTTCATTAATGTGTAAACTTGGGAATATGTGTTTGAATTTGGGGGTGTGGCAGATAAGCAGGTATATGGGGCGAGACTTGTGGGCAATACAATATTTAAATACGTTTGAAATTCATAAACTAATCTAGACTTTGGAGAGTACTATGAAGAATGTCACATATCTTCTTGTGTTATTTCCCTTTGGAAATAACACAATTTTGAGTTTTGAAAATCAACATTAATGTAGTGACAGTAATTAAATTGTAATTACATTATTTTCTCATTAAAATTATCCTCGTAGCGGAAACTGAAAAATATTTTTGTTGAATTAGATTCTGTTGAAATCGAAGTATAATCTAATCATATCAGTTTGGTTTCTGTGAATAGCTTACGATACGATAATATAGTTGTTGCCAAATTACGTCTACATTTGTAACGTGGTAAATATGTATGTATGGCGCTAAGGAAATGTTAAAATTATTAAACAAACAGTAGAAAAAAGAGGAAAACTACGACAAGAATGTTGTAATATTACGTTAGTATCGTATGTTTAGTCAATCGATAATTTCTTATTCATACCGGTGTGATATGTACACCGTTTTCTTTAATTTTTGTAAAGAAAATCCGGTTTCCGGAGACTTTAGAGACGCAGGATAAAAGTAAAACCACTGAAGAAGAAATTAATCAATACTGAAAAGCTTTTACTGAACGGTAAGTAATGTCAAAGAAAGATGAGGATCCCTAAATTGATGTAGACATTAATCAAAGAGAAATAATAGCTCATGGCAATAAATTAGAGGCGCTTAAAAATAAATTAACCATAAAGGAAGTTAATGAATGGAAACGAGTCACACAAGATGTTATGATTCATACAATCACATCACGTAAGTTGTAGGAATTAGATACGGTTTACGCCATGACCACTTCAAGGCCCCGGCCATGGGCAATGTATGAGCAAATAACCTGTTGAAGGTCGAGATGTTTTATACCGACTTTTTTTAAATAAAGATAGAACATAGTATACCTGTGCAATCATAATATGGATTTCCACAGCCCTAACTAAATAAACACGTCCGAACGCTTTTATCTTCGATCAGTCCTTTTATCTTTAACCAGATTTTTGCCTGGGACTCCATGAGGAAATGTATACCCCCTTTTTTGAGGGAGGAAAGTCATTCAATGACTTCTCCCGCCTTGGGATAGGCGAAAGGGAGTGTCAGACTCTTACTGGCTAAAAACCATCCCATTTCTACTCCTGCTCTTCGAACCGGAGTCCCGGCAACCCGTTAGGCCTTCCGCGGTTCCGTATCGTACAAATGTTCACCCCTAAATAAGAACAAAAAGAGGTCAGCCACGAGGCTCTATGGCGTGACATACCTAGTCCTTGGTGACACATTTTTGTATAAGGATGACAGATTAATTTCTAAATAAAATTCAAATCAGGTTTACAGAGCAAACTCGTACCTTGGGACCTCTATGTTATGTCATTTATTTGTTTTATAGGACACAAAGAGTTCGTGTCACGTTTTGGACTACAATAGTAGAAGGCTTTTTGTCTAGTGTTAATAAAATATTCTGGTCCTGTCGTCCTATGTCAGGGTCGCAAAAACCTTTGAAATTTGACTCTAGGGAATATACAAAAACCTGAAAAGTCTAGTAGTACGAAAACGTTTTTGAATTTGGAATCGTGTCCGAAATACAGTGGGAAGCAGGTCAGCTCACTCTATTATGTCAAATTTCTTTATTACATTTTCAACTGTGTCGTTTAGATATAAAGTAGAAAATCCTATGACAAAAATTGACACATTGTGCAGCGGCCAGCTGTACATCAATAGACTTGTCCTATAATAACATGAGAGTCGTCAAATATCGTAAAATA